GCGACATCTCTCGGGGGCCGGTGGCATTGTTGAAGTACAACGATTTCATCTTTATTTTAACAAAGTTTGTGATTTTAAACTTCTGCTGAAAGTATGACTCTACTTACTAATTTTTAATTTTAGTTTTAAACGATCTTTGAAAAAATCTTCGAAGATTCAAGTGTTATTTTTCTGTTACCCCCTCTCATGTTATTGTCAACTTGATTATAGTTGTTATTGTTTTTATATTGAACCTAACCCTCTCAATTGTCGTCAAAAAACAACTAACAAACAATATGCTATCATTTATAATTTTAATAAGTATGATAAAATAACTTCAGTTTCCCGTATGCTTGATTACATATGACACTTAATTAGTAACATATAGTTGGTTCAAGCAGGAAAATAACCACATGTTCGTTTTAGTTGTTTGTATGTCATTTAATAATTTATCCTCCATATTATTGACACCCCACATAATATACATATGAGTCAATTGTATTTATCAGGAAATCTGTGTTCCACCTTAAAAGTTATTAGGCCTTTCTGTACGGGTTTATATTCACGTTTTGACGTAGCTATAAAGTAGAAGCCTCATGCAATCAAAGGTCTTCATTTTGCTGGCAGACTTTCCTACCAACTCACTAGCGTAAGTTACGACGAAAACTAGACCAAGTTGAATTCCAAAGATTTCTGGATGTGGATGTCACGACTAATGATGAATTCCGTTGGAATACGAACTGCTAGGTACTCACGTTCAGTTGGATCCACTCAAGTATTTCGCTCAGTTCTATTCCGATTGAACTTTCTTCGTTCGATCCCAACGTGTCTTGTAAATAGTTTGTTTTCAACTATTCCGTAACTATCTAAATATCGTGTTCACATTAATTAGCAGTTAGAAATACTTTCAAATGATAATTCTCCAATATCCCAGATGTTCATTATCGCATTATACGGTATTTTCATGGAAACTAGATTCCGCCCGCGATTCCGTCCGCGTGGTATTAAAAATACTCTACATTTTTGCCAAATTTCATTGAGATCCGTTCAGCAGTTTATGCTAAAAATTCTAACAAACAGCCATCTCTCTAAACTTTCACTTTTATATTATTAGTATGATTGTTAGAAGAGAGTCGTAGTCGTAGATGTCGTAGACCTATATTAAAAAAAAATGTCTGCTACCGAATTTTATTTACAGAATTAGAGGCTTACTAGTTACATATAATTTGATGTCAATAGCAATTAATAATATAGATTTGTTTAAAGCAATCTGGTACGTAATTTCTTTTATGTTTTTTTTTCTACCAAATAATAATCTATTTATAATTTTAAATTAACAAGGTTAATTTGACTTCCGTATTGTTTTGTTTAACCTTAGGTATCGTTATTTCCATGACCTATTCAGAATATTTAGTTTTGTTGAAAAAAAGATTTTCGATTTATTTAAATTGTGTTTGATTTTGATGACACAAATCAATTTAGTTTTAGTAAAAAACAATGACAATTAGAATCAGTTTATTAAATACTGTGTCGGATATTAGTCAGCACCGGTTTAAAATTACCGGCGCCCTGGGCGAGATTTTTATGGCGCCCCTAACCTCAATACCATGCTAAGATATGCGGCCGTTGAGTCTCTTTATGTCCGGCGCCCTGGGCGGTTGACCCACCTCGCCCTATCCTAGCACCGATACTGATAACGACATAAGCACTTGTACACTTGTACACTTGTACACTTGTACAGCCTATTATATAACACCTGGCAAACACTAGGTATTTAAAGGTTAATTGTTAAGGTTAAACGACAAAACTACTACAAATTATTGCCCATTTATAAAACAGAATTACTTCTCAACTGCTCAGCGATGCGTAAAAACATCAAATGTCTTTTTACTACATAGTTATATCATGATAAAAAACACGTCAACGTGCAATGAGAAAATAAAAATGTCAACCCATTGTCTTCGTACCGGAGATCGTCAGTTTTGACACAAACATAATACACAAATGGTCATCAATACCGCGGCAGGCCGGGGCGGACAAGCCACACGCACGCACGCATTATTCAACTCAAACAAAAAAGGGAATAAATGCTCGAATAAAATACTTTTAATTTCCCCGGGCGCCGCTAATCGGGCGGCGGCAATGGAGGGCGCCAAATCGCCCTTTTTATTTTTCTGTATGAACGCAAATCCGGCGGGAAAACGACCGAGGCTAGCGAGCGGGGCGGGGGGGACACGCGCTCGGAATTAGTGGCCCCGTGCCCCCTCTGGCCCCGCACTCGACACAAGAATTTAAGGTTGACAACTTAAAGAAAACAATTTATTTTTCATTTGGATAAAAATATACAAGTGCATAAATGTAACAGGAAAATATTATAAACTAAACTCAAAGGCCGGTAACACATCTGTAGTTTCTTTGGTATTGCAGATGTCCATAAGCGTCCTTGATCACCTTGGTATTCCCGCAGCTGGTTTGTTCCCTTTTTTATAAAAAAAAACTTAGTTTTTACTTTACTTGTTCTTAAATTAAATGTTTTAATAATTCAATTCAATTTGGGATCATTGGGATAAAAGGTGCCTTTCAGAATAGGTATGTAAAAATTTCGACAATAGTACAAATAGTCTACGAGTGGAAATAAACAATTTCTTACTGTAACGATATTAGTAAATTTGGCAAAAATACAGTAAAATGATATTTTAGTACAGCTGTGACGTGACAGCCCTACTCAGAGGTGTCACTGAGCACGTCCTGTGCCCGCAAAAAATGGGACATCGCGACGAAATGCCCGCCGCGGGGCGCGGAGAGCGGACAGAGGGGAGACGCACCGATTTCCCTTTTAATTTATTGCCATTGTTTCGATAACGTTTTTAAATTTCTAGTATACTTACTCCCTATTTGACCAGGAATATGTGGTGTAAGACATCAACACGCTTAAACTGTAAGGGCTGTAATTATATTTTACCTAAATATCCTAAACTCATACAAGGACCAAGGACGTTCTAAATTATTTTAATTATCTCATGGTTACTTAAAAATATGGTGAAGTTAATTAGTAGTGATCAAATTGTAAATGGGAGATTTGCAATGTTTTGAATAGAAATATTAAATATTCCTCAACAGTAATTATTTCATAATAGTATTAGGTTAATTTAATAATTTAGTACTACAAATTAATTAACCCGATTAGATTCTTATTTCCATATTAATTAGATTTATTCATTCATTAAAAAGCCATCTTAAATTAGCTCTATCATAAAAAATGTAGGGCATTTAATTATATTTGTGTATTAATAGTTAAAACAGATATTGAAGTTGATTAAATAACTGCAAACACCAGCGCAAAGCTTTCAAAATATTGCGCGCATCAAAACCTCCCGCTGCCCGCCTGCCCGCCTCGGTACAACAGTTGACTCAGAGCACACGTACCCACACAAACAGAGGCGCCGTGCTCTGCTCTGCTGGACTTACTACAATAACAGCGGGCGGCCGCGGGGTGGGCCTGCGGGGGTGCGGGGGTGCGGCGTTGTGACGAGACGATGCAGTTTGCACCGCGGCCTCCTCAAACCTTCACCAACTTGCGCTCTGTACTCGGGAATCGTTTTAAATTCAAGAGCCGCAAGCGGCTTCACTAACGATACTACACCTTACTCACCGGCATCAACGTTCAAACTACAATGTACAACATTCTCTAAATCATTCTGACGACGGATATCATTTCAGCTGTATCGCGAGACTTAAGACCTTATATGACATGCACAAAGTTGAAAATCGTACAGATAATACAAAAATGGCAGCCGACCTCGGTGTGAGTGCGGAGGTGAGAAATACATTAGTGGTGGCGTTTTCCATTGGCCGTCGCTCCCGTGTTGATATTAAGCAGTCCACGTGGACCGCTCCGCGGTCGCTTGTCTCGTTTTTTTCGGCGGGTGTCTCGCTATCCGTCTCATTCTAATCTACAACGAAACGTGGAATGTCATGTCCGGAGTTGTTCAGAAAGTCGTGAGCGTGCATCGTGCTTCGAGCTTAGTGTCCGCTACGAAACGCAATACTTCTCGAAAAACGACTTATAAACTAAACTTGTAGCTGCTCGTCTTACGGTTCAATTTTAGGTGTTGAACAGAGGCGAGTGCGTCGTGTTTACATTGAATATTGATAAGCATTTTTAAGTCAATTAAGGTTGTAAGCTAAAAGCGGTTGTTGCTACATTTAAATTATCGGTCGGCATTCAAATAACGCCATTTTTTCGTGTCGGCACGATTTTATTTATAGTTATATGTTATGGCGAGTGTAATAACGTAACGTGGGCGATATGTTTTAAGGCGTATCGAATATGGGCAATTCGATCAATTAGTTCCTCTAGCTGCGATCATGAATGGATGAAACCAGTAGACATGACTTACTTTGACCAATTGATTTAAAATTAACTAATTTTAACCATTTACTAACTCATTTTAAATTGGATTTACAATGTATGGCGTAAAATTACTTTTAATTAAATTTCAGTCTTAGTAATAATTTCGTAAATAACCCGTATATTTTCGTAACTGCTTTATACATTTTTATTACTTTAAAGAAGAAACAAGTCTAGTCCCATAGTTTTTGTTCTCAATTAAATATAAACATCAAATATAAATGCAACTGTAAATAACAATTATTTAAAAAGTTTATCAAACCTCTGGGAACAACTAACGTTATCTATTGTGTCAAAGGAAAAATTATTTTTCATTACTATCTTGTCAAATTGAATTTAGACAATAGATGGCGTTTTCACTTTATTTTAAACGAATAATTTTAAGAAAAGAAAAGAAAATAAACAGATAGTAGATATTTACTAGTAAAATTAATACAATAACGCAGTTTTAATACTTTTCTGCTACCAATTTTATACGTTAGGAATCTTTTAATAAAAATTAATAAGAGATCTGTGATCTGTATAGCTTTTGCCTTTTCTTGACAATGACAATGACATTTGATTTGACAATGAATAATAACATTTCATTGTCAAGAAGGGAGGCAATAATTTATACAAATGTAAATTAATGTATTTTCTTATGTACCGTTTTTTATTTGTTAGGTTGTCTCTTTCTTTTTTCAATTAGAAAATGCTGATATCTTAAGTTAGTCTTAAGTTTAACCTTCAAAGTAACTTGTAGCTAGTGTTAGCAGTTAATTATTAGTTTGCTATTCTAATAAAATGCCTCAAGTTATTTTATTGTTTAGTGGCAAAAGAAAGTCAGGAAAGGATTTTTTGACTGATCATTTGCAAAATATGTAAGTACGGGGATTTAATTATTTTGTTCAAAAGAATATCCAGAGTTGTGTAAAGAAATTGATAATTGAATGTTTTATTAATGAACTAATTTAATCTTTGACCTTATTTTCAGATTACTAGACAAATGTGAGATTATCAAAATATCTAAACCTATCAAAAGTCACTGGGCTAAAGAAAAAGGCTTAAATTTGGATGAATTATTAAGTGATGGTAAATATAAGGAGCAGTACCGCCTGGATATGATACAATGGAGTGAGGAGATGAGATTTAAAGATTATGGATGCTTCTGTCGCTCCGCATGTCAATGTGGTAAGCGTCAACATAATAACAAGTCTTTTGGATCATTATACTAGAGAACTGTTCATGACATGAGTGCTGTTGTGGCAACACTGGCCCTGGAAATAGGGCCAATGTGCACTGCAGAACATATCCTTTTTCTTATTATTCCTTCGATTTTTTTTTACAATTTTGCTGTCTTATTTCTTAATACAAATATTTTTTCTAATTCATTCAGTTAAAGACACTTTTCCTAATCTTATTTTGTATTAAATACATGCAGTGCAGATAAAATTATGCCTCTAATTGCCTTCTTACTTTGTTTGTTTTACTGTATTCTTGGAATTGACCATATGATCTTATAGTTTAAATTAAAACGCATATAAGTAGATTTTAACCAAAAAATAATATGGTTAAAGCAACTCCTGATTGTCTTACATACCCATTGTTTTTCAAAATGGTACAATCAATTTCAACTTATAATTAAATTGGTAGTTTGTTTTTTAATTGTGTTTATCTGTTCCAGCTCTAGATAAACCTGTGTGGATTGTCAGTGATGTTAGACGGAAAACTGACATACAATGGTTTGAGGAAAATTATAGTGAAATTGTAAGAAAAATTCGTATAACTGCTGATGATAATACAAGAAAGGCTAGAGGTTATAATTTTCAATGCGGTGTTGATGATGTTGCTTCAGAATGTGATTTAGATGATTATAAAGATTGGGATCTTGTTATAAATAACGGTGATAATGGACAGAGTTTAGAAGATCAAATAAGTTCTGTATTAAAATTGATAAAACATGTTGTGTAGAGTCTGGATTGGGTATTACGGTGAGTAACAAAATCAGGGTATCTAGAGATTTGAAAAAATTTGATTTATTGTTATTTATGGTTAAGTGGTGTTATTTTCTATCTTGACGGACTTCCCAAAAGAAGGAGGTACTCAATTTGTCTGTATTTTTTTATTTAGAACTTGCTTGATAGTTTTTTGCTTTGATTATTGTATTGGACTTTGTTCAAATTAGAAATATTACTTTTGCATAATGTAATTAGTTATTTAATAGTAATTTGTTCTACAATTTCATGTCAAATTATATTGATTGTTGTATCGAAGAATTATAGTTATCAACTTGTTGTAAAATGAATCTCAAAAAAGTGTTATGTTACATGTAGATTTTGTTGGAATTTTTCAATGTACTTTTTGTTAATCTGTTATTGAATAATGTAGTTGCATCTAAATTCTATTTGGTGGAAGAGTGTTGACAAGTATTTAAATTATTAAATGTATTAGTTATTTTTAAACATTAACGAAAAGCAGCACATACTGTGCTGACCTTCCATAGGGACAAGGGCAAGTTTATAGTGATTATTAAATTTGGTATTAAAAATTATGTATGTATATTTATTTCTTTATTTCAACAGGCTACAATGCTTTTAATACAAGAGCCTATATATTCCTAGAAATTAAATTTAAATAAATCCCATTTTTAGGTCCTATTAGAACCCTTTTAGGGTCGAATTGCATGACTCGTTGTGTGTTCTTAGATGCTTCCACTCGGAACCTTGATAAGAGCTTCATTATGCATATACGTGACTGCACTTTTGCGAATCGCATTCCTGAAAATAAAAAATAACATGTTACTATTTTCTACATTTTTCAAATCAAATTATTTATTACCAGCGGTTGCTTAAAAACACAACAAAACATGGCCTATGTTGCCACTGATGACGTAGCTTTTTAATAGTGTAAGAATTTTTGAATTCAACCCAGTAGTTTTTAAATTACTTCAATACTAACAAAAATACATCTTTCCTTTTTATAATATCAGTATAGATTTGATTTGAAAAAAAGTAAACATACCTATACAATTCCTTGGCCCAACACCGAATGGCATATAAGCACAAGGATGTCTATCCCTTACTTTTTCCGGAGAAAACCTCTCAGGGTCAAATATTTCAGGGTTGGGGTAATATTTAGGATCATGTTGAATACCCATTGTCGATACAAATACTTTCTGTCCCTTTCTAATAACAATCTTCGTATTAGGTATTGTATAGTCCACTTGTGCCCTGCGTTGTATCGGGTCAACTAAAGGATATTTTCGTAACGTTTCATCAAATACTTTTTCCATGTAAATCATATCAGTTAATGCTTCATATGTTATTTCTCCATTATGTTTATTGATAACATCATCTATCTCTTTTATTAGTTTTTCTTGTATGTTAGGATTTTTAGCTAATTCGTAAAGCATGAACGACATAGTGGTTGCACTGGTTTCATAGCCCGCCGCATAGAAAACAAAAGCCTGTGCCGCTATAATACTATCGCTTAATTCTAATGTAGTCTCCTCATCTTCGTTGCTTCTTCTAGCTCCTTTTATTTCACCTTTCTCTCTCAATTCCAGGACTAAATCCATAAAATCTTTCCGATTCGAAGGCTTCCCATCTCTTTCGTTTATCACAGTTTTTACCAAATCTTCAAAGAAATATCTAAGCTCCACAGTAAATATTGTACTATTGAACTTTTTCAAAATACCAGGAAACAGCATATCGATTTCCCTTGCGTAAGATAATGAGAATATGATTTTATCGATTTTCTTAAACATTTCCATTTTATCCGCCATCGCATCGAAGTCTAGACCAAAGGCACAAGCTGATATCGTTGCCATTGTGTATCTTTGAATTAACGAATGTATTTCATGTTCATTTTTTTGTACGCAAATGTTATCCACTTCTCTTAAGAATTTGTCTCCTCTATCGTTCAATAAATGAATCATGTTTTTTAATTTACCAGAAGTAAAAATTGGTGTGAATTGGTTTCTTAAAACCCGCCATATCTCAGTGTCTGCGTGGAATAAGTTTGCTCCTAAACCATCTTTGCTGAAGGAAACGCCTCGATCGGAAAAACAATCGAAATCTTTAATCATCACGTGTTTTACAACGTCCAAGTCTCGTATTAACAAAGTCGGTGTTGTCAACCTGAACACACCAACCACCTTCTCGTCGGGAAAATCGTTATAAATATTTTGCATTACCTCTGCGACGGTTTTTCTTCGAAGTGTTGATGCTATTATGTTTCCGAATAAAGGAATCGGTTTTGGTCCCACGACCTTTATATTTTTCCAGTAGTTAAAATTTCTTGTAAAGTAACAATTTATGTAATAAACAATAATTATCACTAATACTCCTAAAATTAGTAAAGGATCCATGATTATTAGACACTGATACGTCCTTGTTCACTTTTAAACATTCGGTGTACTACACAAATATTAATTCAGTATATTTGAATATTACATATCTTACAACAGCGGTTTTTTATCATTCTATTTGTCGCTCATGTCAACAGAAGGTTAAAATATTGAGATAAACTAGTTTTAGATTCAAAACTATTATGTGGTACTTACAGATGTTTTTATCCGAATCTTCGCTGGGGCGGGGGAGAGGGAGGAGTCTAATATTTACGCAAGCATGTACATTCGCGGAAACCGGCTGTGTTCCACTTTAGGATATATTGCCCTCGTTTGTTTCTACAAGACAAATTACGCCCCTTCCAAAATATAACTATTAAATAGCAGTGAATGGTGCAAACAAATAATAATGAAAAGAGTAGACGTGTATTTCTAATAGACTTTTTTATACAGACACATTTATAAGCGTTGTATTTTTGTTCCCCGTCTAAATGTTTAAACGATTGTACTTTTTAGGCGTAACACCGCCAGTTTCCACGAATATACATGTATTATGTAAGTGATGTTATCTATTGTCACGTCTTGTATACGAAATGACTTAAATTATTGTGGCAAATGTTGATCTATTTGTATGTTTAACTTTTGTAACAGGGATAGTTTTTGAGTGAAAATTTTAACAAAAACTTTTTTATATTTCGACGAACGGTGTATTTTGATATTGTCGCCATCTATTGTATAGTTGCCGAGTAAAACTGTTTGTCGGACATCTTTTGGCATCACATAGTATAGGAAGCGATCACTAGATGGCGGTAATGACATGTACAAATATTTTTAAATACCTATTAAAATTAGTCTCAAATATACGAATAATAAAAGTCTGAATTTTTAAGAATTATAACCTTATCTATTGTCATTAGGATATGCCCTTAAGATGTTACATGGTCGTCGCCGTAATCTGTTGCAGAATGGACAGGCTTATTTGTGCAACACATTATATTGTGGTCTTCCACTTTTAGAATACGGGAAATAAATAATTGAAGGGCTGGATTAAGAGCATTAGAAACTGACGACCTTACATTCTTGGTTGTATAAATGTAGAGGAGACGGGAGGTGTGCCAATGATTCGCAAAATGGTAGTAGTCCAGTTCGTAGTCTGCCTACTCATATCGGTTGTAGGCGTGAGCTGTGTTTACAAATAGTATTCCTATTTCTTCCGTTTATCTTCTTTCTCTTATTACGATTCTAATGGATTCCACTTTTTTATATATCACAAGGTGGCAAACGAGTCACTTGAATCCGTCAAAATGGCGAAGTGACCCCAGTCTATAGACAGTTGCAGACGCGTTTCCTTAATCGACGAAGGAGGAAATGCATATAAATAAGGTATTTCACCCTTTCATGCGTCTCCTCCGCCGTTAAATCCACTTTCCCTATCCATCCTTTCCTTTTAAGAAGTGAAGAAAGGGAAAGGGAAAATTAGGTCTCAGGCGAGTGTGGACACGTCAGACGAAACATGGAATTGCTCCTAATTCACGCTTGTTTCTGTAGGGCTCTATCACTATTGTTAACCGCTTTAAGTAAAGGATATTTACTATTTGTATGGAGGTGAAGTAATACTGATTAACGATCGCTCTGGTAGGTACTATTTCGTATTATCTTTTTTAATATATCAGCAGTTCGCCGCGTGCTTCTGGCGTGTTAGCCATAATCATGTTCTTGGTCACAATGACTTGCAATACACTATCTAATATAACCTTGTTACATTTGTTTTTAAACTAAGATAGGTATAAAAAGAAACAGCACGAAAGATGTAAAAACATGTTTATAAACAATTTGGGTTAAATGTTATCCAGATTGGAGATAACTTTTCCATTGGTCAAGAGATTGTCAACTAAATAGATTATAATAAGAGATCCGGTGGCTCAGAGGTTAAAATCTAGACTTAAAATCTGTAGATACTGTTAGAATCCCGCCATGTACCAATGTTTTTTATTATTTTTATTTCATATTAGCTTTAACCCACGACAGCGTCCGCGTAGAATCAGAAAAAAACAAAAGTAAATATCCTATATCTTCTTCCAGACTATCCTCTACATTTATCTAACGAAAGCAACGGTTTTTGCAACTATGTACAAAGCGGCATAAATCGGCCGCATTCCGGGGTAGTTTTCGTTACGCTGCCACCAAGTGTTGGAATAATATCCCGCCGCCTATCAAAAATGCGCAAACTAAGTTGACTTTTAAAAAAAAACTAAAAGCTCTTTTATTGGCTTTTTAAAAACGTTAAACTCATAAAGTATAATACTCTTTTTAAATTTAATTTTTTATATCTTCCCTTGACTATTTTCTCTCTCTTTTAAAACAGTTAACATATTATGCGCACATTCTTTTTGTGTTATTACAATAATGTCACTTTTTATCTGTGTTGTAGTTCTGTATACATTTTATTTTTCATAACATGTTTATGTACAAAATTTTTCTTTCATTTTATTTTACTCATGTGTATGTGATAATTTATACCTATCCACTGCTACTACTGACGTGTGGATGATCCCAAGGGTTCTCGCGGAAGATCAGCGCTGGTGCTTCGATGGGAGCATCCAGCATTTATAGCTGAGCGAGGGCCCAATCCGGTCAGCATTGCAACGCTAATTTTAAATATTCCTTTTTCTTTTTTTTTCATAATTGTAGTGTTGGCAAGGATTAAACATTATTTTATTTATTATTTATTTACATGTATGTCAAATTTCATCGAGATCATTCAACCGTTTAGGCTACAAACGCCAACAAATGAAAATCCATCTAAATATTCACATTTACAATATTTAGTATAATTGTATATTAAATTTTTTCTTCCTTTCTTGAATTTTATAGTTGGGGTAGCTGCAATTTCGAAATAGCTACTTCAGAGAGAGTCCAGGCCAGTTTGCCCCCTGCATGCTAGTTACTGCTTACGTTTTATGAAAAACGCATATCGATGTTTGTTCTAACTCACCGTGAAAGGACTATTTATAATTTTATTTCTATGACAGACAATAAAATGATTTGCGTCATAGTGACGGCAGTCTTAATCCTCGGGAACCACTGCTTAAGTTATTTTTGAATGAATTATCACTTTATCAATAATGTTACTGTAAAAGTACGAACTACGGTTAAACGTAAGATTTACCAGCAGAATATAACCTACTTGATGTAGTTAAAGTCAGAAATGTTAAGTATTCTGTGATAGGTTTATTTCCAGTATTTTCATCTATTTCAATTGATTTTCATACAAAACTATCTATTGACTTTTTCCGTGTATTTGAAATAAATCTATAGGTTTACTAAGTTAATGGCGTTAGTTAAATGCTCAAAAATGAAGTAATCAGGTTATCTAGTTAATGTATTATTACACTTAAGTGCTAAGGAGACAGCCGAAAATATCGCAAGAACGGCTAAGTCCCTCCCGCATACGCTAAGCTGCCTTTTGCCACTAATTTTTTATTATACTCTTTTGTCTATAGAATAAGTCCGGGTAATACATTTCTTTTATTTTTTACGGACCTTTACAATTACTGTTAAATCGTCGTTTTAAACGGTAATTATTAGAATTAGACTGAGTTCATAGTTTTACAGTAACATACATTTGATGATGCAGTATGTTATTGAATGAATTAATTAACAGTCATTTAGATTAGTCTTCGTATTAATTTTTATCTTTATCATATCATTAATAAGTATCCTTTAATGATCATTTAATCTAAGATACATAGACTAGATAGATGGTGTTTTTTTTTTAATTATGTTCGGTCTTTATTATTATTGATTTTCAATAGACATCAATACAACTATCTTTTTCGATCGATTCGTTCGTTCGATCGAAATTTTGTATGTTATAGTAATGCTAAAATGTGGTTACATTATTTGAAGGTATTTACAGTCTATATCTATACTATTATACTCGTAATAAAGCGTAGACACACACTTCTTTGTTGCCTAAGATGTCAGTAATTACAGCATATCTTTAAATAACTCTTTTTTTTTAATAAAAAGCCCAGCACTTGCGTCACGCGTTAGGCTATTTATTTTCACGACATTAAACTTAGGGGGTAAATATTTTGGATAAAGACCCTAATGTGGGAAAGAGACCATAAGTTGCTACCAACATTAAGGAATCAAGATTGTCAAGGTTTGTCATGTCATGTCATTTTGACATTTGCTATCGATAATTTGACAGATGTAAACAATAAAATAAAGTTTTCATAATTTCATGCGGATGATGCCGCACGGGAACAGCTAGTAGTAGTATATAGTATGGTTTGCGGAGGGATGAATCACATGTAACAATAAGGACGTTATTTATGAGTGTTGGGGTACACCAGTAGAGGTAGACCTAGAAAGAGATGGATGGATTGCATGAAAGGTGACATGATCAAAAAGGGAGTGATGACTGAGATGACCTATGATAGAGTTATTTGGAGAACGAAAACCCGGTGCGCCGAACCTACGGGAGTGGGATAAGGCAGGAGATAGTATGGGAGATGATAGTTCTTTATGGAAGGGGAAGGTAAACTTCCCTACTCCGCCCCAAGCAATGCCCATGAAAACTAGAATAACAAAACCACGATTTATAGAATTTTTGATATGATTTTACACGCTATATCTTGTATAAGTTACTTTTTTACAAAACAAATAAAATATCAAACAGCACTTATAAACGTTTTATTAACTTGTAATATTGTTTATTCTCTAGTAGTTTATTTCTATTCTACGAGATAGCCCGAATAATGTTTGGATGGATTGTATAAAATGTGCTTAAGACTTCTCTTATATGTTGAACAACAACTGCTGATGGAAATGTATGGAAGAACAGTACATGTGACGGCACTTAGCAGGGACAAAGGCAGACGGAGGACATCTCATGTCTCTTTCACCTAAAAACGTTTAACAATTAAGGCTTTTCTGAAACTACACATACTGCATGCATTAAAGCCCCATTGGTAATTTTTTTTTTATATGAGATAGGAGCAAACGGCGGGAACACAGAGGTGGTCAACGATATCCCATGGATATCAATTACATTTTTATCATAATTTACATACGTAAACAATTTTATCGCTTGTTGATATTAAATGTTACCGTGACCAGCGCCTGTCGCGAATTTTTCACAAATCATTGTTACTGAAACATTCTTAAGGGTATGTTTGCGAAATGCGATCTTGACCATTAAATAATAAAGTAAATAATAAAAAATAATAGCGAAATCGGTGTTGTGATAAATATTTATGGTGAAACATTTATCCATGTTGACATGTTGACGTCCATTCTATTAATTATCGACGGCCAAAAAGTTAAAACACGTGTTTATATGGTTTCTAATTACATTATTTAGGGGTTATACAGATTATGGAGGCAAGATTTTATAAAATAAAATTGAACTGTGATAATATTCGTCTCAAACTTTCGTTTCAGCAATGTTTTGTTTAGTTACGTGGGTCAGTTTATTGCTTGCCGTATCCCTATTCCATAGGGCCTTGTATTTCTTGTTTGTGGAGACTATGCACCGGGTTGGAGTTTCGATAGGGCGCAAAAGAACGACTGCCTAGGGAAAAAATTGGCGTCACATTTTGAATTGCATTTACATAACCTTATTTACAAGCCAGTAGCGTTGAAAAAGAAACGGAACTTAACGTAATGGGATGTCCAACTTTCCTCAATAATGTTCGTTTCTTATAGCATTTTGTCCTATAAATCAGATGACGTAAGCTCTCTGTGGAATTTCGAATGCAGTGCCATTGATATCGACGTATATTTTTGTCTTTATTAACTCAAATAGAATCTGAGGGATGGCAACATGTCAATACAAATGTAACTGCAGTCGTAACCCACAGTCCAGCAAACATTTACCGCAATTTAATGTAAAGAAATGACGTTTCATTGCCTGCCAAAATACAGACGTGAACACAACTTTGAATACTCAAACACAAATGTAACATGCACAGCTTTATGGTCTTCGAATAAAAATAAAACTTTATCATGAAGTTTTAACCTTTGTGGAATACAAACAAACATATAAATTCAATTATTTTAGGCACTTACAAATGATTTGATATTGCGATTTTATCAATTTATTTTACCTTTAATGGCTTTGATTAAAAAAATACAACAGCCTTCTTGACTATCTGTTGCTATCTAGACTTTCTATAGCCACCTAGTCTAGTCTATCTTACTAATCTTACTAATATTATAAATGCGAAACTTGAGATGAATGGATGGGTGTTTGTTAGAGTTGGTAGCCTAAACGGCTTCATGAATTTCGATGAAATTTGTCATAGTCATAGAGGATAGCCTGGAAGGACACATAGGCTATTTACTTTTGTATTTTTTAATTGCACGCTGACGGAGTCGCAGGCGATCGCTAGTATACAATAATTTAGATTTATAGTTAAATTTAGTTTAATCGTTATAAGCATACATGTGTGTTAGGAACCGCGTGAAAGTATGAGAGAGTTTTAATTCACAAGCCGCTGTTTACAGTTTTTCAGTTTAACAAGAAATTGTTATTGGTTATTACTATTATTTAAATGTTTCCTTTCCTTGTATTTTAAAATATGCGATTAATTCGTTTAAAAACTTTTATATGTAAAGGAATTTAAATAGCAAATATCTTATCCAAACCGAGGCAACGCCGATATTGCCTTTGCATATGATATAGCAAAATAGAATCTACGTAACTTAATATGTGAAAATATTATTATTAATCTTACTATTATAATTGCGTAAGTTTAGATGAATGGATGGATGTTTGTTAGAGTTTGTAGCCTAAATGGCTGAACGAATATCAATGTAAGGCATTAATGTGGAGCATAGTCTGGAACAATAGCTATGCTATTTACGTTAGTATTTTTAATCCCATGCGGAAGCAGTCAGTTCAGAAGTTTAGGCTACAAACTCCAACATACATTTATTCCTTCTATCCAATCTTTCGAATTTCTGATATAAACATGATAGTAAATTAAGAAGTATGATGTCATTGTGAAATAAAAAAAAACCGTATAGATTTTTTTAAACATTTATTTTATGCATACGTTATCTATACTTCTATACTATTATAATAAAGCGTAAACACACACTTCTTTGTCGCCTAAGATGTCAGCAATTACAGCATATTTTTGAATAGTTCTTTTTTTAATAAAAAGCCCTACTTACGTCACGCTTTAGGCTATATATTTTCACGCCATATATTTTGGCTATATATTTTGCATAAAAACTCTAATGTGGGAAAGAGACCATAAGTTGCTGCCAACATCAACGAAACAAGGTTGCTATGGTTTGTCATCATGTCATGTCATTTTGACATTTGCTATTGATAATTTGACACAATAACATTTTCACAATTTCACGCGGATGAAGCCGTATGGGAACAGCTAGTCATTTATACGTGTACTATACCAAAATGTCTTTATTTATTTATTTATTTAGGGTAGGGGTATTTAGGGTACAAACAAACAAACTGGACTTATTGATAACTACAGGGTGTAATTGCGTTTTTATCCCTTATTTTCGAGAAATATATGAAAATGACAATTAAAAAACCTAAAGTCCATCATACAAACCCATTCATAGTTTGGAGCAATAAAAGCATTTTTCTAGTTTACGGCTGCAAACGGGCATAATAAAATAGTTGGGACCTTTTACACAGTTAATCTACTATTGCCCGTGATTCCGTCCGTGTGGAATAAAAACAACTGGACTGAATTTAGTAAGATCGTTTCTTTGTATTTAGTTCGTGGCTTGAATATGTATTTACAGAAACATCTATGGTTTTTACAAGCCTCTAGATTCAGTGGTTCAAAAAAAATATTTTTTATTGAAAACAAAACCGACTTCCAAACAAAATACACTAAACAGTAAAGAAATAATTCCTTGGTTTACGTAAACCTCCCTATTGTATAATGTCTATACTAGCTTTCGCCCGCAACTCCGTCCGCGTGGAATTAAAAAAAAAAACAAAATACCTCTGCGTTCTTCCAGACTATCCTCTACGTCTATACCAAATTTCTTCGAGATCCGTGCAGCCGTTTAGGCTACAAACTCTACATCCATCCATCTAAACTTTCGCATTTATAATATTAGTAAGATTGTACAATTATTATTACTTTGATGGCGATGTCAGCCGAGGTACAGTGATATTTATAGGTAAGGCTTTCTACATTTTAACATAACAATTGACATACGAAATTAAACGTCGAGTAACATTTAAGTAGTGAACATAAATTCTCGACGACTGCTCTTATAGAATGTGGATTCGATAATTTTTTTTTAATTATTATTGCAATAAAAATGAAATTGTTTCTTAATGTAAAAAACAACAATTATACTTTGAATTTTTTAAGTAATACGTAATATTTTATGCAATTAACTAAGCGATAGTGAGGCAAAAAAATTACCAAAGTAGTAAAAACTACTATACATTTTTTCGGTTAATTTTTTAACGATGCTAATGAGTTTAAAAACATCGATACCTTATAGACGTGATTTATCAAATTAATCAAATTAAAACTGAGAAATTGCGTTAGAGATATACGAGCGTGAACGCGACCGCGAGTCGCGCGACGCTTCCCATCGAAGTGACTCAGCTACTAAAACTCCATGAGTGCCACTATCCAACCATGCTAGGTACTCCCGCCGTGTGCAGTAAATCTGCGAAAAAAGATACGTAATTTAGACGTTTTATTGCGCAATTGTATATAATATTGACGAAATAAATGAAGATACATGCATACAATGCAAGGAGCATGATGTAGCTCCATAGTAAAAACTTAAAAAGTTCAAAATTTCGTTCAAAATCAAAAATGAGACATTACAAACAATTCGGTAATCACGATTTTTTAATTTTTGTGGTGTCGAATTTTCTAGCACCTGCAGCTACCCAACTGCACACACTACCCCGTGGTGAGAGTTGTGCGTTAAAATCTAGCAGTTTCCGACAACTTTTTCCTCGTGGAATTAAAAAAAATAGTAAAAAAAACGTAGCCTATGTTACTTACTGATAACGTAGCTTTTAAATGGTGATTTTTGAAATCGACCCAGTAGTTTTCGAGTATAGACTAGCTCTTGACCCAGACTCCTACCGCGTGAAATTAAAATAAAAAACAAAAGTAAGTAACCTATGTGTCACTACGGGCTATGTTCTACATTTATGCTAAATTACATCCTGATCTGTTCAGCTGTTTTGGCTACAAACTCCAACAAACTTCCATCTATCTAAACTCTTGCGTTTATTAGTATGACATTGGTTTGGTCTTGCACATACTTACGTAAAATTCCCATCCCCAGTAAGATCGATTAGGTCTTTTCAGAAAACAGATATGTTCAGAATATTCCCACTAATAGATCTAAAAAGCTGTATGCGAATTATTGTACTAACTGTTTAAATTAACTCGATTCAGTCTAAATGTAAAAGTAAAGTGCAGCTTTGCTAATGTTTGTATTAAATACATACTTTAAATAATTTTATCACCGAAGCTAAATACGTATAAGCGAAATGTGAATGAGAGGTTAGGAGTAGTTAAATTTTTATTTTATTTATTATTTATTTACATACCGAGAAACAAATTTAAATGTTTAGATTTTTATAGAATGTCGCAGTCTCATAGTTATCTTTAGGTATACTTTGTAGTTAAGTATTGATTTCGCATTTTAAACAGTTTTATACCAAGTCAACTTTGGTCTGTTTTATTATATTTTAATGATTTATTACGATTTTAATGTTTTTGTTATTATTTTAAATTAAAAAAACGTGAATTTGAAGATATTTTAATAAAGAAAACAAGGAACGTGCGCACCCAAAGTTCTTTACCAAAGACATGATAGGTGGGAACGATATCGACATACTGAAAAAAAAACGTAAGCATATTATGTGATCAGCATTATTGTTTCCATAAGTTTTGTCTTTTTCGCCAAATAATAATCTGTGATGACACGGTATTTTTAGCCTATAAAATCCTATCAACATACTCCATTCCTTCAATTCGGTATTTGTGCACAGTACGATAATGTTGTACCTCGTAACGGCTTTTGCAAGTGTACTTTCACTTTTATATTATTATTTTACAAGAACCTTTAACTACTGGAAAGATAGAAATGTTCCCGGACCTAAACCGCTGCCATTCTTTGGAAACCTTAAGGATAGCGTGCTCAGGCGTAAGTTCGGTGCAATACTTTTTAAAGATATTTACGATGCATATCCCAACGAGAAAGTGGTCGGAGTCTACAGAATGACCACACCGTGTCTACTGCTCCGCGACTTGGACGTTATTAAGAACGTCATGGTTAAAGACTTTGATCTGTTCGTCGACAGAGGAATTTCATTTAATCAAGACGGACTAGGAGTTAACCTGTTCCATGCTGACGGGGATACATGGAGAGTACTGAGAAACAGGTTCACACCAGTATTTACTTCTGGTAAGCTGAGGAACATGTTGTATCTCATAATCGAACGAGCTGAACACTTTGTTGACCATATTGAAACGCTTCGTGTTAAACAATCGGAACTACCTATACATGCCCTAGTTCAGAAGTATACAATGGCTACTATTGCCGCATGTGCGTTCGGCTTGGATTTAGATGAGGGTATGTATGAAACATTGAATAAAATAGACAAAATGATTTTTAATGCAAGTTACACGTTCGAGATAGATATGATGTACCCTGGAATATTTAAAAAGTTCAAAGGTTCAATTTTTCCCAGTTACTTAAATTCGTTCTTCTATAACCTTGTACAAAATGTTATTAAGCAAAGAGGTGGAATGCCAACAAATAGAAAGGACTTTATGGATTTAATTTTACAATTAAGACAACAGAAAATAATTGAAGGAACAAAGAAAGTGGACGATGAGAAGTTGAGGATAGTTAAACTGACTGATATGGTCATTGCCGCTCAGGTGTTCGTATTCTACGCTGCCGGCTACGAGACCAGTGCCGCAACTATGAGCTACCTGTTCTATGAACTAGCAATGAATCCTGATATACAAGATAAAGTCATTTCAGAAATTGACGAAGTACTTGAACGATACAATGGTGAAATAACCTATGATGGTTTAAATGAAATGACTTATTCGCAAAAAGTATTCGATGAAACTTTAAGAAAATATCCAATTATTGATCCTTTGCAACGCAATGCTCAAGCGGACTACACAATCCCAGGCACTAATGTTACTATCAAGAAAGGACAAACTGTACTCATCAATGCTTTGGGTATTCATCGCGATCCTAAATACTACCCCAACCCAGAGAAGTTTGATCCTGAACGTTTTAGTCCTGAAAACGAGAAAGACAGACATTCGTGTGCTTATTTACCATTTGGAACTGGACCCAGAAATTGCATAGGTATGTAAAATTATATCTTATGATTATCACTATAATTTAAAAATACAAACTTGTGACAATTTACGTAAACAATACTAAATCCTTTCAGTTACTTATTTTTAAATGACTTGGGCGATTTGGATAATTGGGTCGATCGATTGATTTCAATCGGCCCATCGGATAAAAATTCCAATCGGTTGATCGAGATACACACAGAATAGACAATGGTTAGATTGCATAACTAGTTTTATAATTGTAAAAACACAAAGGTGCTCTTTATTTTTTTCAAATTAAAATTCTTTATTTGCGGATAACGAAAAATCAATATTTTGTTAGTACTTACATAAAACTAGAAATAATTTTTAATTTAATTGGATTTTTCAATTGTTTGTACTTTATAGGTCTGAGATTCGCCAAGGTGCAGTCTCGAGTGTGCGTAGTCAAGTTCCTGTCGAAATACCGAGTGGAGCCTTCGAAAAACACCCCAAGACATTTGGAGTACGACCCCATCCGGCTAGTTCTCTTCCCCAAAGGAGGAATTCACCTAAATGTTGTACGTAGATAAAATGAAATTAATCTATGTTTATCATCTCACGGAAACGAAAATGTATATACAGATTTAATAAATGGTTTATGGATCTAATTTCTTTTTTTTACTATAAAACTTTGTTTAACAAATCATCATCATCATCATCATCATCATCATCATCATCATCATCATCATCTCCCCTGCTCTATCCTACTCCCGTAGGGTCGGCGCACCGGGTTTTCGTCCTCCAAAGCACTCTATCATCCGTCATCTCAGTCATCACTCCCTTCTTGATCATGTCACCTTTCACGCAATCCTTTCTAGGTTTACCTCTACCGGTGTACACCTCCACATTCATAACTAACGTCCGTCTTGTTACATGCGATTCATCCCTTCTCATAACATGCCCATACCACTCTAACCTTTTACTCCTTATTTTCTCAACCACTGGGGCTACTCTCAAACTTCCTGTAATATACTCATTTCGTATCTTATCCAATCGTGTTACCTCACACATCCATCTTAACATTCGTATTTCCGCCACATGTATTCTTTCATCCGACCCTTGTACTAACTGAGGTCGAAAATGCCAAATACACTCAGGGTACTAATTGTATTTTTTATATCAAAAGGCAAACGAGCAAGCGGGGCGCCCTGAAATTGTCGAAATAGCGATGCTAAATTAAAGTTTATGGACAGCGTTTATTCATAGATGTCAATTGCATATTACTTTTAATCAACAAGTGAAATACATTTTTTCTGTGCGTCTCCTCTGCACAGAGCAGTCAAATTCACTTTCTCTTCCCATCCTTTCCTTGTACTTAAAGAGTGGAAATGAGAAGACAACTAAAATTAGGCTCTAGCACACACTCCTCAGATTTTTATTCACAAATTCTATATACACAGTTTTATGCTCCTGGAATAAAAATAGAATTATTTAATGAGGTTTTGGCTTTTGTAAATGTACAAATGAATATAAGTTTAGACAGTTAGACTAGCTTTCGTCTGCGATTCCGTCCACGTGGAATCAAAAATAAATAAAAGGAAGTAGTCTATGCGTTCTTCCAGACTTTCCTCTACATCCATTCCAATTTTCGTAGAGATTAATTCAGCCGTATAAGCTACAACCTCTAACAAGCATCCATTTTAAATTTCGCATTTGTAATAGTAAGAAGTGGTAGTAAATGTGTAGTAAATGTTTAAAATAAGGTGTTTATTACATTAAAGTACATTACAATCATACAAATGTGTGTAGAGCATAATTAATGGGAAAATTTCAAGTTTCAAATCTATTATTAAACCAAAAACGTAAACTTCAAAAACAATTAATTAATCTGACAATTAATCATTAATTTCAATAATGTAATTAGTCAAATTAGAGCAGACAAGAGTTAATAATCAACTAAATCTTCAATTTGGTTCTAATTGATATTTAATTTATTTCCACGTATTAGTTATCTAATCTACATATATCTGTTTCTATCATACTTTAACAGTGGTAGAGTCCGCTTTAACATCTTTACACGAATGGCACGCAGAAAACAGGCGTGAAATGAAAGTAATTCCGCGTTTATTCTTATGAGTGTGGTACCGGCCTTATTTAAGTCCTTTTCCTGATGGGAAGGAGTGGATTTGACGGTGGAGGAGGCGCATAGGAAGGGGAAATGTGCTCTTTATGTGCGTCTCCTCCGTCAATGAAAGGTAGGCAACGCATCTGCAATTGCGGATGTTTATGGACAGCGGTCGCTTTCATTCGGTGGATTCAGGTGGCCGCTTGCTCATTTGCCGCCTTATATTATTAAAAAGAATTACTAGTTATACTAGTATTATAAATGCGAAAGTTTAGATGGATGGATGTTTGTTAGAGTTTGTAGCTTTAACGGCTTAACGGATTTTGATGAAATATGGTATAGATATAGAGGAGAGTCTCGAAGAACACATAAGCTAATGACTTTTGTTTTTTTTAATCCCACTCGGACAAAGTCGCCGGTGAAAGCTAACTAATATAATTGGAAAGATAATGTATCTGTGAGTAACATAGGCTAACTGTTACTAATATGTATTTAGGAACTATTAATAAAAAGCGTATTTCTGGACCCCGGCGTTAAATAAATCACTAAATCTTAATTTTTCTCGGCTTACGCTGCCTAAAACGTTATAGGTATGTAAAAATCATGTATCAAGGAATTATAGATCTCAAAAAGATCTACAGAAAAGTCAGTGATACTATATATCTATCTATAATGGCTTTCATACAATAACCACTTTATGTTTACAAAATGAATTAAAATCCGCATGACATTTGCGTCGTTGTTTTATTAATTTCAATATTAATCCTTATCAAAATAAATGTGTTTGTTGTCGGGAGAATTTAATGAAGAATAAAATTGTCCTTTGCAATTTTAAATAGGACAAATAATTTAGAAGATACTGCGAACACAAGCAATAAGGGTAATCGAAATAAGCACACAAGCTACCGAACTTAGGAATTTGGAATTTTGCATCAATATATTCTGTTATTACGTAGATTACTACTTAGTTGAAAATTTAGGTGATAGGTTGAAAAAGGGGCGAACGTAAGTTTTGAACTTTTAAAATCCAGGCGGACATAGTCATTGGCAACAGCTAGTTAATTTACATAATTGGGATTACATTTTATTACCATAATAATTTAAATAGCAAATTTTTTATTCAAACGGAGTTTACTTAGATATTTCTTCCTTTGAATTTATTATAGCAAAGTAGCAGATATATAACTTAATAAGGTAGAAAATAGTTATTTATTGTAAGTAGGCACATATATTTATATCTAATGTAATACGTATAAATGTATCAGTATAGTTATCTTATTAATAATGATTTTAAATACAGTTATTGTCTATATTTAATATTATTAAGGGGAAAACTTTGTTTGATTGTAATGAATAGGCTAAAAAACTACGGGACGATTTTAAAATGTTTTCACTGTTAGGTAGGTAATTGATCTGTGAGTAACATAGGCTATATTATTGCATTTCTCTTTTATTATTGTTAAATTTAAAGCGGACGGAGTCGCGAGCATAAGCTAGTTCTTTATAAAAGTATTTCAATGACAGGGGGGGCTAAAGTGTGTTTTGCTTACTGCAGACGTTGTATCGACTGTGCAGAACTGCAAACACATCTGTCAAAGAATTATGACGAAGACAGATTTGACTCCAAAAATACACGTAACTACATTGATTTTATCATACTTCATACTAATATTATAAATGCGAAAGTTTAGATGGATGGATGTTTGCTAGAGTTTATAGCCTAAACTGCTCAACAGATCTCGATGAAATTTGGCATATATGTGGAGGATAGTCTGGAAGAACACATAGGCTACTTGCTTTTGTTTTTTTTATTCCACGCGGACGGAGTCGCGGGCGAAAGCTAGTGTATATATAGCAGATATAGAATCACCTAACTTGTTATGATATGTAAGGTCAAGATAATGTTGTATCGGTTCAGGGAATATTATAGTTTAATATGATAAAAGGTTACCGTATCTCAATTATACTGAAAACTTGAGTAAAAATGTGCTTCCATCCATCAAGCGTACGTAGAGATTGGGAAAGGGTTGTGGCTAGCAGTGGACTGGCTAACAGTTGAACAATCAACATCAGTCAGATAACAGTATAGCTTGTTCAAGCAAGCACAATAACACGACTATGTATAACAGTATTAGTTTCTTGTTTATTTGAACTAGAACTTTATTTAAAAAAGTTTCTTGTTTATTTGAACTATTTTGTTGGATGTTTATATTATTAGATTAGATGACCTATTAGACATTAACTATCTTGTAGGAACTTGGACTCACCTATCATTGAGTACGATAAAAAATTGACCATTTGTAAATTTGTCGCTTCTTGATAACCCGATCATAAAACATTTTATTGATATGTAGCATAATGTTATAAAATGGATTATTACTATGAATTGTATGTTCGTGAAAAGCAGCATATTTCTATTGTTTAAAGGGGGAATCTTCCATAGATTTAAATTCACCTCTGTATCCATCCTAAAATCCAAAAGGAGAGGGTTCCGGAATCTCGAAGGTACGCATTTGGACGTCGCCGAGGGATTAGGGGGAGGGCTTAAGGTAGTATATTTCCCTCTGAACAATTAGGAAGTGTTAGACAGGTAAAACTAATTCGAATTAGACCGCGCTTAGCTGTCCCCCCTAGACTAAGCCTAGAACACATTTAAACTTAGAAAACATGTTTAAATATATTTAGTGACCTTGTACGAATTTAGGACGTATACACACCTGTAGAAGAAAAGTCAAAAAATATAAATAAGTAATGAATCAAAAATGGTATTAATATTACGTAAGTAAGTTGTTCCGTTTATTTTAAAAAATACAATTAGACTTTGATAGAAAATCGATATTCAGATATCTCTAGGTACGAAAGTAAGGTAGACACCGTTATTGGGTCCCATGATTGGACGTTTTGGGTCAAATTCCATTTCAACCATAGTTTTCTTGCTTGGCACGACTCTGAAATTGGACAGCAGCTTGGCGATACATATGTGACTTTGTAGTTTGGCGAACCGCATACCTGAAATGAATAATAATTATTAATAACTAGCTTTCGCCCGCGACTCCGTTCGCGTGAAAAAAAAACAAAAGTGAAGAGTCTATGTGTTCTTCCAGACTGTCCTTTACTACTATTTCTATGCCAAATTTGATCGAGATTCGTTCAGCAGTTCAGGCTATAAACTCTAACAAACATCCATCCATCCATCTAAACTTTCGCATTTATAATATTAGTACGATTGTTATTAACGAGTTATTTTTATTTTTTTTTATTTAAATTTGTATTTTGACACCTTATTTCGCCTCAGCTTTGCTAAATACAAACATAGCTAATACCAATATAATAAATAAACTGCATATAATTATTTTAATTATTTAAATTTTGTTATAACACAAGAAATCCACTGCAGATACTTTTATTATTATCCCTTACTGATTATCGTGTGTACATTATATGCTAATATCGAAATTCACATAAATATTCTGTATGAACTTTGCCTTCGAATTTATTTTCAGACTAAATTCTTCAAGGTTTGTTAGAATAACATAGTTGCTATTTTGTTTTGCATAAATACTTAATAACACGGACGTTAATATTTTTAATAGCCTCATGACCAGAATGAAACAACGGGAAATATTTTAAACTTATTATTATTCGTATCGTTCGCGACTTTTTGCGATGAATGATAATGTACAGTCGGGGAAACTGGATTCCACCAAAAAGCTACACTCGTTGGAACAATTGAAATGAGACATGGAAAAAACAATACAACGCTTGTAAATGTGTCTGTATGATATGCCTCTTCAATGACAACTCAGTCACAAAAAAATCAGTGAGTTGTGCAAATGAAGGAATAATAAAATAAATTAACTAGCAGTTTTTTAAACTAGTTAATTTTTTTTATTATCCCTTCATTTACAGAACTCACTGCTATCTAATTGTTTACTTCTAGGAAGAGGCAAAGTTCGTCTCGTTACAAAGAATAAGGCTATTTTTATTGAAGTACAACACCGTAGATTTCCGCTACTGTACCAACGATTTATAATTCTATTAGCGACGCGTCTCGATTTCGCAGTCTGCAAAAATCCACCTGTACTTATTATTTACCTTACGTCAGCTTTATTGACCTTAAAATGGCAATTTAAAAACAAAGTAACTATAATAAATGTTAGTGAATTTAAAATGCAATCTGTATTAAAAGTGAAATACATAATACATAAGTGGTCAAACTTGTTTTTAATCAAAACGATGGTCGCACTTAGTTTTTAGATTTTTATTTCGTCTAAAGTATTTTATAAATTTTATTTTAGAATTATATGAACGCATAATCTCTGTAGAGGTTCTCATATAGCTTTCATAATATACAGTTAAAATGGGATCCAAAATCTGATAATTAATTCAACGAAGATTAGAGTTTTATTTCTTATGAAATCAATAAAGAGATGTGTCTTTCGTCTCCTTTCGTCGCTAACTCAAAATATTTTAATGACAAGTCACTTACCGATACAGTTTCTGGGTCCAACGCCGAATGGTAGATACGCGCATGGGTGTCTGTCTTTGCTATTTTCTGGGTTAAATCGGTCAGGATCGAACTTTTCTGGGTTGGGATAGTACTTTTCATCATTTTGAATACCGAAAGGAGATATGAGAACCGTTTGGCCTTTTTTAACAGTCACTTCAGTACCGGGAATCTTGTAATCTCTCACTGCATTCCTTTGTAAAGGTTCTACTAGAGGAAACTTCCGTAAAGTTTCCGAAACAACATTTTCAAGATATTTTAATTCACTGAGCATTTCATACGTCATTTCACCGTTGTGATTTTTTAATTTGGTATCTATTTCTTCGATAACTTTATCTTGTACGTCTTGGTTGTTGGCCAGCTCGTACAAAAGAAAAGACATAGTCGTAGCACTAGTTTCGTATCCAGCCGCATAAAATACGAACGCCTGTGCAGCTATCAAGCTCTCAGTGAGTTCCACTATCTTTTCATTTTCATCTTCACGTTTTTTCGGTCCTGTTATTTTGTCTTGTTGTCTCAGTTCCAAAAGAAGGTCCATGAAATCTTTTCTATTCGTCGGCATACCATCTCTTAACTTGACGACTGTTTTCACAAGACCATCGAAAAATTCGTTCACCTTTTTAGGAAATAATGAACTGTTCAATTTCCTTAGAATGCCAGGATACATGTAATCTAGTTCAAGTGCATAGCTGGAAGTAAATATGAGCTTGTCAACAGTTTGCAAGGTCTTCATGTTTTCGGGAGTGAAAGAGTCGAGGTCGATGCCGAATGCGCACGCCGATATTGTAGCTAATGTATACTTCTGAACGAGTGAGTGGGCTTCTAATTCTGTAGGATGCCCGTTGCAAAGCTCTTTGATGTAATTAACGAAGATGTCTCCGCGGCCGGTCATCAAGTATAACATATTTTTAAGTTTTCCAGATGTAAATATTGGTGTGAAACGGTTTCTCAAGACTCGCCACGTGTCTCCGTCCGCATGGAACAAGTTCATACCGAGGCCACTCTTGCTGAACTCCACGCCGCGGTCTACGAATGTGTCGAAATCTTTAATCATTACATGTTTGATTACATCCAAATCTCTAAGGAGAAGGCAGGGTGTGGTCATTCTATAAACACCGACCACTTTTTCTTCGGGAAAGGCGTCGTATATTTCTTTGAAAACAACACCAACGTTTTTACGACGACGAGTCGATTCCAATAGATTTCCGAAAAACACAATCGGTGCCGGTCCTTTAACATTTTTGTTTTTCCAATAATTAAATGTTCTCGTAAAGTAACTATATAACAAAATTATGATTGATAGTAAGATCACTGGTATATAAGAGTAATCCATTGTACAAGACACGCACAGTACGAGAAACAAGTCGTTGTGTGTGATAATATTCTGCGGAGATTCTTTATATAGTTTATGTTGAATTTTAAATGTATCTGTATATCAACCAAAGACATTTAAAATATATAGACGAGGCACAGCGAACAATTTTTTCACCGGTACTTTCTCTGAAAAGTACTATCAGTTGTCAAGGTTAGTAGCGCGTGTCCTTGTATTAACATATAATTTTTAATTTAAAAAAAATATGAAAATAAAGTATAAACAATTAAATATTATTTAATGACACTTATTAGCAATTGATTTAAATATCATTAATTATATTGACATGTGGTTTTAAGGCTATCAATATATAGCGTTAGTAGTGATCCTGTGAGAAATGTTACAAGTGAAATGTCAATCATGCCTACTCTATATACTGTTTGAATCTCTATAACGTCAACGGAACTTGCTTCGTTTAGTGTCACATTGGATTTAAAAATAACCGTTAATTTGATTTATGATTCAAACAATATTTTTTTTGTACTTTTATTCGCGCAAATAATAAGATAGACGTTTTATTTTAACTTGATAAATATGTTTATTTAGTTTTTTTCGTAATAAAATTTGAAAAACTTTATAAAATACTAGCTTTCGCCCGCGACTCCGTCCGCATGAAATTAAAAAAAAAATATATAAAACATAGCCTATGTTACTCACTGACAACGTAGCTTTTTAACGGTGAAAGAATTTTTAAAATCAGGCCTAGTAGTTTATGGGTTATTTTAATACAATCAAACAAACAAATTTTATTATATTAGTATAGATTAAAAAAAATGTAGTCAATATTGTAGGCAATTTACTAGGTTTCCCGTACGGACCAAGTTATGAGTTAAAGATACTGAACAATTTTAAATATATTTTTTTTTCAATCTATACTAATGTTATAACGTAGGAGGACCAGTTAGGTCTGCCTTTCTAGACTCTGTTCTACATCTTAGCATGTGCCTTTGGTTTGGATTTATATAAAGACTTGTACAAAACATGGACACTTCAAACACGTTCCAGATAATCTCACTAACGCTCTATTAATAGATCCTTAAAACCACATGACGTTAATTGTATTTAAATTACACGCCAATAGGTGTTATTACATAATATTTAAACGCTTATAATTTATTTTGTAACACTGTTTAGTTTATTTTATAAAAAAAAAAAAACTGTCCGTTCCCGTGCGACTTCATTCGCATAAAATTATGAAAATTTTATTTTATTGTTTACATGTGTCAAATTATCAATTGCAATGTCAAAATGACATGACGATGACAAATTCATCAATTCAAACAAGAATTATTCAAAAATATGTTATAATTGCTGACATAAGCAACAAAGAAGTGTGTGTTTACGCTTTATTATAATAGTATAGAAATACTTCTATACTTTAGGTTATCTATACAGATATAGAGCTTATTATTATTTTCTAAGATATTTTAATACATGTCAACAAGTACACAACTGGCTACTAAACTTGACAACTGATATATAGTACCGTTTAGAGAAAGTAACGGTTAAAAAAATGTTGTCCATGGCTCGTCTATATATTTTTAAAACATGATGAAATATACGGACAAAATAATTTTTAAGCCGACGTATAACCTTTAGTTGAAACGTAGTACCCTGGTTACTCAAACTAACCAATTAAATTTTTCCAAAATTTAAATAAAAAATTCAGCAATCCTGTAAAAACTGTTGTGCACCAAAGAGGCGGATAAGCGGCAAAATATTTTATGGATTTGCTTTTAGAACTAAGACAAAAGAAAACTATTGAATCATCAAAAGGAGCGATTTTTTTTATGTATGACTGACATGTACATGTACCTTTCTGAAATATGGTTTGCTAAAGTGCACTCTTAAGTGCATCGTCAAAATTCTCTCTAAATTCAAAAGTGGAATTTGATCCAATGCGTTTTGATCAGAGTCCTCGCCGAGGTATCAAAATAAAAATTTTCCATATAAAGTATGTACAAAGTTTCGTTTTCTTTGTGTTAATAAACTAGCTGTTCCCATATGGCTTCATCCGCGTGAAATTGTGAAAATTTTATTGTGTCAAATTATTAATAGCAAATGTCAAAATGACATGACATGATGACAAACCATGGCAACCTTGTTTTGTTGATGTTGGCAGCAACTTATGGTCTCTTTACCACATTAGGGTTTTTATTCAAAATATTTACCCCCTAAATTTAATGGCGTGAAAGTATATAGCCTAAAGCGTGAGCGTGACGTAAGTGTAGGGCATTTTATTAAAGAAAGAACTATTGAAAAATATGCTGTAATTGCTGACATCTTAGGCAACAAAGAAGTGTGTGTTTACGCTTTATTATAATAGTATAGATTAAATTTTATTTTATTGTAGTTGTAGTAAAGCTGGTGCCCCGTGAACAATGAAAAAGTCAATGGGAGAAGGCCGTTCATAAAATCTCTGTTTTTCTATCTGTTTTAACCTTATTTAAACATTTAAAGAAAACAGTATTTTCGAAATATTTTTAACAATTCATTTAAACAGTTTTCATGTTTGTTTTGTGAAGTACGTAACTAATATAATTGTGTGTCAATAGAATGTTGCTTTTTATCTTATTGAAAGACCAAATTTGATAGAGAAATCTAATGAATTTTGGTTTAATTTCGACCAATGGGCGAATGTATTAATCTGTCTGATGTATTAACCAGATAGAAGCTTATTAAAGTATTCTAGTGATCGTAATCAAAGTGTGTTTCGTGAGTAAGCATTATTGAATAATTTGCTTATTAATCAATAAACAGAGTGATTTGTTAAATTTTTGTTGGTAGAAAAATGTTCGGTGTCATTTATATTTTGTCACGTTTTCAGAAAACGTTACTGTTTATCAGGATTACAGGTTTTTCTCTATCATTTTGCTAAGTATGTATGTCTGTTTATAGCTTCGTATGATGTTTCTTCTTTCCCGGACTTTGTGAAGGTTGAGGATGTCAATGAATGTTCCAAAATGCAGTTTTTCAGTCGTTACATTTTCTAAAATTGTAAAATAACATATTTCATTTCAAGCCAATGCGTTTAAATATTGTGTATTTAAAGTGTTTTTTTTTCTTAAAAATTCGACTTTCGTATAGTTTTTTTTTATGATTAATTGACATGAAAAAAAAATTGAACATTCCTAAAATTACTTTAATTTCAGATACAATCGCTGGCAAAGAATGGAAGAATAGTATATAAGTACTGTGCCCACCCTCCGTAAGAGTCAGATTGATGATGATCTATGATCGTAGTGCACAGTTGCGTTTCTTGTGGTTTTCCATTTGTAATAAAGAAATAATTCGGACTGCTTTACATTATAATTAGTAGTACATATTAATAGCACTCTAATTGTTTATTCGGAATGGATGGAGTTCACCTTCACTACTAAAAATAGAACAATTTTCTTGTGACTGTAACACCGTCAAATAACCAAACTATACTTAAAATAATCTATGAAATGTTTCAATTTAAAACAATCAGCTGTTGTTAGCTGAGTATATTTTTAATGGAATTCATCACACACATTTAAGAAAATATATGTTCCACGCGTGTGCAGTTGCGGGTCAAAGCGATGTTAATATAAACGCGATAAATATTTTATAGAGTAAATACGATAAGCCCTGCAATTTCTTTTATCATTATTATGATAAACATTATTACACTGTTTATATATATTTTTTTATAGTAACTATAAGATGGCAACGAGCAAGCGGCCACTTGAATCCACCGAAATGGAAAGGGACCACTGAATAAACATCCACAATTGCAGATGCCTTGCCTACCCTTAATTGACGGAGGAATAGACGCACAGGGTTATACGTTTGACAGGGCCGATGGAATGTAAATAAAGCTTCTAATACAAATATTGAAAACTAAAATGATTTTTTTTGTTTCACGAAATTTTACAATTTTTTGGGGACTTTGCCTCCTGTGGTAGGCGGAAATCTTATAAGACCAGACCTTTCAGTACAAAGCCTTGTAGCCCCCTCGCCCTTCCCACAACAAAATCAATGCAAGTAACATTTACATATATAACTAGCATGCCAGATTCTGGCATGCATATGTGCCTCCTACTGGCACTGCCGAATTGTTTGTTTTGTAAAACTTACAATCTGAAACTTGCAATCTGACAGGCATCAACATTTTAATTTCAGTTTATTAAGCCTTTATTGCCGAAACTAAGAACACATACAATTGTTAGGCTAATAGTTTGGTAGATATCGCGAACCCAAACAATCAGGGTAACCGAAAGAAAAGAGCACTAACTACCGTGCTTAGGAATTTGGAATCTTGCATCGGTGGATTTCTGTTTTTACGGTGATAGGTTGAAAAAAAGGGCGAACGTGGGTTTTGAACTTTCAAATTTCAGGCGGATGAAGTCGCGGGCAACAGGTAGTAATTAATAAATTATATTAAGGTTAATCTTCTTTTTAATATTTGGCCGTTAGTATAATTACAAAAGTCTAATAGGTTATATATTATAGATGATATGTTAACCGGAATACATTTATTTTCGATACCGATAACAGCATAGCAAACTGATAACGAGTGTTAACAAGAGTGTGTTTTTATATCTTATTTACATTTACATTGTTTCTGCAAAAAACTACTTTATGACATCTATCGGACATCGCGTTAAATACTTTTACTGAGACTATGTTATGTGGTTGTTTCAAATGTGCATCAATAGATAGCGTTAGTATTATAAGCGTTTGATAAAATCTAAGGGAAATGCTGTTATAGTACTCTATACAACTTGAATATTATATTTGAAGTTTGCGTCTAACGTACTAATGTAATTTAAAAATCGAATCAATTATTTTAGTTTTAAATTGACCACATATTTTTATGCGGCTATAAATATTATTCATCGTTTTATAACAAATAAAATTATCAAGAATTCAATTGATATTGACAAGGGTGCGCCTACGAGAATTTAGGGCTACCAGCATGTAACATTTAAGTAAATGCTTCTCTTTTGTTTAGTAAAACGCATAAAAAGAAGTACTAGTACCGTAGTATTATAACTCGGAAATGCTCTCGATTTAACATAGAGTCTTCTCCCGACATCACCCTTACTTAGGGCAGGCTCGGAGCCCCTCGGTGGGGACATATAGTGAGCTGGTGCTGCTTATTGCATTAAACATAGAGTCTTCTCCCGACAAACGTCGGGAGAAGACTCTATGTTTAATGCCATAAAAATATTTGGGATCGGCGTTTCGCTAAACTGGCGAAGATGAAATCTCTTACTTTTACATAAAGACACCCTGACATTCAACTGACATTGTTGGCTCATAAAATTAAATTAATACTTTGACAACTCGAGGGTGATAAGCACTAACATGGCAACAAATTTTTGTTTTTAACGGAATTGCTGATGACAAAGAGCGAAACATGTTCCGTATGTTTTCCGCACATGCGAGATGTTTCATTATCCCGAGAAACCTATATGTATATATTGATTTTTAGATTTTTATCACGAAAACCTTTTCTATCTTTAATACATGTTAAAACCTCATCAGAAGCTGTGATTGGAAACAATTTGCCGTTAACATCAAATTTGGATCCTAAATCATCCTGAGGACTCCTACTTAGACTATGGTGATCCCCAATCTAGGGATTTTGTATTTTTAATTGGCTTAATAAATGATAATATTTGAGTAAAGAAAGTAACATTATATATTAGAAAGATGAACTGTAGGTTGTGGTTATCTATCCTACGTTCATTTTTAATGCGTGTAACTAGTCATATAAATATTTAAAGTTTTGTCTTACAAAATTAGTGTTTCAAACACACGATCGTTACAGAAGCTATCGGTATCAAGATTAACTAAATTTCATACCAGAATTCATTGTTTATAAATCTATAAGGATTTTATGTAGATAAAGCACCAGCTTATTTGATATATCGTAATGATGACTATGAGAGTTTGGCTTTTAAAAAGTCAAAAATTTATTTCGTTTTTGTAACATAATTTTATTGTGTTGACGACACAATAAAAGTGCATATAACAGTAGATAGCATTAAGATAATGGAATCTTATCAAAAACATTCTGCAACGAACACCTATCCAGAGACTAGATAACAGTTCATTTTCATTAATTTTCAATATTAAGTGCAGAGAAGTTTCTTTTTGTAACTTTTATTGTGGAAAACGTCTAAATTGGGCCTAAAATTTAATGGATATTTTTAAATCCAACGCTTTTAAAATGTTATATACATATATATGATTTCACATAATTTATTAATAGTAAAGGTATCCTACTACTATGTTTTACTTGTTGAATAATATTTTTTGAGTGAGACAAACCAATATTCACGATCCTGTATTTATATTCTTATGCTTATGTACTTAGATAGAGTTTTTATCACGCTGTGCCTTCATTGTTATCTCGACAAGAATAATCAGACTATATAAACATAGCAACTTCTGTTGTTTTTTGACATTCTGTAACTGTGTGAAGTCTGAAAATGCTGTATTTATTAGCGATTTTGATAAGTGCATTTACAATTTTATACTTTTATTTTACAAGGAATTTCAACTGCTGGAAAGACAGAAATGTACCTGGACCTAAACCTCTACCATTGTTCGGTAATATTAAAGATAGTGTACTCAGACGTAAGCATGCTGCCTTAGTTTTTAAAAGTATTTACGATGCATATCCTAACGAGAAGGTGGTCGGAGTTTACAGACTGACTACACCGTGTCTACTGCTCCGTGATTTAGATGTTATTAAGCATGTCATGATAAAAGACTTTGAACTATTCGTTGATAGAGGTGTCTCATTTAGCAAACAAGGACTAGGAGTTAATCTATTTCATGCTGATGGAGACACATGGAAAGTTCTGAGGAACAGATTTACTCCAGTTTTTACTTCTGGTAAACTGAAGAACATGTTGTATCTCATGACTGAACGAGGTGATCACTTTGTTAACTATGTCGAGGACCTTCTTGTAAAGCAATCAGAACAGCCTATACATGTCCTTGTTCAGAAGTATACAATGGCTACTATTGCCGCATGTGCGTTTGGTTTGGACTTAGATGAAGATATGTATAAAACGTTAAATAAAATAGACAAAATGATTTTTACTACCAGTTACTTCAGAGATTTGGATATGATGTACCCTGGATTACTCCAAAAAGTCAATAGCTCACTATATCCTAAATTCCTACACACTTTTTTTGATACTCTCGCTCAAACTGTTATTAAATAAAGAGGTGGGCTTCCATCGAATAGAAATGACTTTATGGATTTAATTTTGGAGTTGAGACAACAGAAAACAATTGAAGGTACGAAGAAAATGGACAATGACAAGCTGAGGATAGTTGAATTGACTGATAGTGTGATTGCTGCTCAGGCGTTTGTGTTCTACGCGGCTGGCTATGAGACCAGCGCCTCCACCATGACATACTTATTCTATGAACTGGCGATGCGTCCCGAGATACAAGACAAAGTAATTGCAGAAATTGACGAAGTTCTTAAACGACACAACGGTGTAATTAGCTATGAATGCTTAAATGAAATGACTTATTTGCAACAAGTATTTGACGAAACATTACGGAAACATCCAATTGTAGATCTTTTACAACGCAATGCTCAAGCGGACTACACAATCCCAGGCACTAATGTTGTTATCAAGAAAGGACAAACTGTACTCATTAATCCTTTTAGTATCCACCATGATCCTAAATACTACCCGAACCCTGATAAGTTTGACCCTGAACGGTTTAGTCCTGAAAATGAGAAGGATAGACATTCATGTGCTTATTTACCGTTTGGAACTGGACCCAGAAACTGCATAGGTGGGTTAAATATGTTTTGAAGAACCCTGTAATATATAACTACATAGTCTTACTGATAATAATCATCTTCTCTAGTGTTTAAACTACACTATCATGTAAACATTCCTCGTTACATTACTTGATTCATTTTATTGATTGTAAATAATGAAACATTAGTTTGCTTATTTGATAAAACAGAATGAGCAGTTGTTTTCTGAAGTGTCAATGATTGCGATATCTGTTGTTTACTTTTTGTTACTTAATATTTACCTCATGGTATTTAAAAGTCGTGAAGAACACACAAGCTAGTTCTATGTGTTCTTCACGACTATCCTCTACAATTATGCCAAATTTCATCAAGATCTGTTCAACAGTTTAGGCCACAAACTCTTAATATCCATCCATCCATCCAAACTTTCGCATTTGTAATATTAGTAAGATTAGGTTTTAAAGTTATGGGTCGTCGACCTCAAATCGGATCGCATCTGTTTTTATTGCAGTTACAGTTAACGACAATAATTTATTTATTTATTTATTTGTTAACTCGCGTCCAATATGTTATCCTTTCTACATAATAATAATAATAATAAAATGATTACTTTCCAGGTCTGCGGTTCGCCAAGGTGCAGTCTCGAGTGTGCGTAGTCAAGTTTCTGTCAAAGTTCCGAGTGGAGCCTTCGAGGAACACTCCAACCGTGTTAGAGTACGACCCTATGCGGTCTGTGCTGTTCCCCATGGGTGGAATACATTTAAATGTTCTATGTCGATAAAATCTACACCACGAACCCAATTTATTTTGTATAATTATATGTGTCTGTCCAGGATTGTTGTTTTTCTTTTTAGCTGACCAAAGAGTCGCGCACCGTCGTTTATTGTATTGAATCTTACTAAACATATATTGAAGCGATTTTGGTAATATGTGTAATGTTGAGTTGCAGAAAATGTATTCTCCTAATATCATGTGCCATTATTGTTGACTAGCTGTTGCTCGCGATTACGTACGCGTGAAATTAGAAAACATTATTAAATACATCCTATGTTACTCATTAATAATGTAGATTTTCAATGGTGAAAGAATTTTTAATTCTGTCCAGTAGTTTTTGAGATATGTCGATACATACAAAAATACAAATCTAACCTTTTTATAACATAAGTGTAGATTTACGGCCGGTCTCAATAACGCATCCTGGATCGGGAGATCGCTTCAATCGAGAAATAAAACGACCTGCTGGTTGATCACTAACCGGTGTCTTAATAACACAGGACAGCAAACATCGACCGATTTTCAAAATGGATCAGCTTGATCGATGTACTTTGTGAAGATCCCTCCTGGCGTTCCATTTCAAGCAGATGTCATTATGACTGTGTTGTAAACCTATTGATGAATTTAAGACAATATGCACATTTTTGGGTTTTGACGTACTAACTAATTATTTTTATGTTGCGTATTTTACGAATAAAACGTGTTTCAACATTTTCCAAGGCGTCGCTACCCGATGGTCAAGGAGGGAACAATTATGAACATATTTCTTCACAAATGTGTTTTGCCCGTGACTTCATCCGAGGGGAATTTATAACCTAGTACTTACTAAGAAAGTAAAAACTTATGCAGGTTATTGGTAATTCGACGTATTCCATAAATATTTTTAATACTATAAGAGGAAAGATTTATCTTTTTACATGTTTGGTGTCTGTCTGTTAATAATGTCGGTTTTTTTCTTTTATACTTCACATAAACTTTATCATATAAATATGACAATCTCTTGAGTCAAGCAAGTAGAAATGGAAGTTCTTTTTTAGGCTAATTACCCACCACCACCCATGAGCTCACCGACCTTTTGATCAATCGGCCTAGTTCGGCTCCGCAGGAACCTTTTTGACTCTCACACTCACAATCATCCAACAACTCCCCAAATAATGGGCATGACGACACATCAACACCTTTTTTAGGCTGGTGGGCTGTGGCATACCGCACTGACACTAGCGACCCCAATTAACAGTGGTAGAACCCGCTTTAACATCTACGCACGGGCCAGCTCGCTCGGTGAAATACCACGACCACACAGAAGACAGGCGTGAAGTGGGTGCAATTCCGCGTTTCATATGATGAATATTCGTGCTGAACGCCTAATTTTAGTCACATTCCCTTTCCACCCTTTTTTTAATAAGGAATTAGAATGATAGTGATAGTCGGTGTCGTCCTCCGTAAGTTAAGGATAGGAAACACATCTGTAAATGCGGATGCCTATGAGCAGCAGTCGCTTCGCCTTCTCGGCGAATTTAAGTGGCCGTGCCCCTTTTTGACACCTTGTAAAAAATACACTCAACGACGACCTAGCCGCGGGTCGGTTGGCGCTTAAATAGCCTAAAACTCATCCCTCCATTACACTTAATAATAAGCACTGATAAATGTCACGGTATTGTGTAGTGTTACATTTAATGAAGTTTTCCTAGAAATCTGATAAAGCAAAAAAATAATTGTTAATACTTTAGACTATACAGTATGTCCGGAAACGATGTGTACAACGGGAAAAGAGTTTAAAATCGAAAAACCTTGTTAGATTTTTCTAAATAAGCAGAAATTTCCTTAACTTTAAAGCCCTCTAGCAATTAAAAAAGCACCTGAATTAAGAAGATAGCTTGAGGAATGTTGGGTTAAATGATTTCTAATTATATTCAGTCAAGGAATCTTATTTCAGTAAGGAGTAAAAGGTTAGCATTGTATGGGCATGTTATCAGAAGGGATGAATCGCATGTTACAAGGAGAACGTTAGTTATGAGTGTGGAAGGGTACATCGGTAGAGGTAGACCTAGAAAGAGATGGATGGATTGTGTAAAAGGTGACATGATCAAAAAGGGAGTGATGACTGAGATGACGTATGATAGAGTTATGTGCAGGACAAAAACCTGTTGCGCCCTACGGGAGTAGGATAAGATGATGATGATTCAGTCAAGGAATCTGCGGTTTTAAAGACACTCTGTATACGTAAATATTTTTACAATGTTCATGATGATAAGGCAAATTCTTCGTCGAGACAGTGATAATATGTTGACATTGATATTGTTTTTTAATATTATTATATGTAAAGTTGCGGCTGTTTATATCATACCCATTTCAATTATTTTCTAATCATTATTTCCTCTAGTTGCTAAGGAAATGTCTAATTATTCGTATAAGTTATCGATCGATATTTGATTCCAGTTATAAAAATTATCGTGTAGGTAATAATTATACTCGAGGCGGAAGTTAAGATATGAAAATTATTTTTAACTTGCTTGCGCCCGCGACTCCATCCGCGTGCAACTAAAAAAAACTGAGTAGCCTATGCGCTCTTCCAGGCTATCTTCTACACCTATACCAAATTTCATCGAAATCCGTTTAGCCGTTTAGGCTGCAAACTCTAACAAACGTCCATCTATCCACCATCCAATTAAACTTTCGCACTTATGAATGAATGAATATATGTTTATTGCCACAAAAGTAATTTACATATACGGACTAATTCTAACGAAAACAAATCGTGGCAAAAGGTAGCAAGCTCAGCGTATGTAGGTGAGACTAAGCCGTTCTTGCGCTGGTTTTCAGCTAGCTCCTTCGCACTCACACTTATACTTAAATTTATATGGTAACCTGCCTTATAATTACACACAGAAAAAAACACAAATAATCTTACTATCTTACTAATCTTAATAAACTTACTTCTTACTAATATTATAAATGCGAAAGTTTAGATGGATGGATGGATGGATGGATGGATGGATGGATGGATGGATGTTTGTTAGCGTTTGTAGCCTAAACGGCTGAACGGATCTCTATGAAATTTGGCACAGGTTTAGAGCATAGTCTGGAAGAACACATAGGCTACTTTTTATCCCGGGAATAGTTACGGTTCCCGTGGGATTCATTAATTTAGTTTTTTAATGTTTACTCGATCATTCTGCAACGGTTAGACATATCTTATTGAAATTTGGCACAGATATAAAACAAAGTCTGGAGTACACATGGGATAAGCTTCATCCCCGAGAAAAGTCCGGTTCCCGAGGGATACGTAACTTTTTGTAATTTATATAGTTTGTATGTTTTCTAATACCATGTGGACGAAGTCGCGGGCAACAGCTCGTATATAATATTTGTAAGATGTTTAGGTTTTTCTATTACCAATATATTGTATGATTGCGTAATGTTTAATAATATCATAATACTTTGTGGGATGTAAACTTTGTAATGAGCATAAAATAACATTAAATCGTTTCTACCATTACAACGCAATTAAGGAACAAAAGTGTTACAAAGTAATTAGATGTTGTACAAAATCGAAAAAATAATATGAGTGCTGTTAAGACTTAATCGTTATTAAAAACAATTAATACACATGTGTCTAATTAAGGTTGATTAGTTGTACACGCGTAAAATAGCGAATGAAATGTTTATAAATGCAATTTCCGTACTTAGTAGACGGGTATTATAGTGAGGAACATAAGCGCATAAGAACAACTATTCGGTTTAATCTTTAAAAATATCGAGCTAAAATCATTATTTACTTATTAATTAAATTAAGAAATAGTTCTAGTAGTGAACACACGGTTGTTATAATTAGTTTAGGAGACAGAACCCCCATTGAATTTTGTAAAAATGTATTTTTGTCCAATAGAGATTTTTTATATTTTTATTAAGTAAATATAGTGGTAGCGATGATAATAATATTAACGAAATCCACTTAGATTATGCTGGATTAGTAGTAAATATCTATAAACTCTCATTCTACGTACTCGTTAGTATTTGTCCTTATTTATTTGAATTTAAATCACCGAAAAAAAACAGTGTTTTTTATTTTGATTTATCTAACTGATATTATAACTGCGAAAGTTTAGATGGATGGATGTTTGTTAGAGTATGTAGTCTAAACGGATGAACGGATCTCGATTAAATTTGGCAGATATAGAGGATAGCTTGGAACAACAAATAGGTTATAAGGCTCTAAATCTATACTAATATAATAAAGCGTAAACAACACTTCTTTGTGGCTTAAGATGTCAGCAAGTACAGCATATTTTGGAATTATTCTTTCTTTAATAAAAATCCATACACTTACGTCATGCTAAACATTTTCACGCTTTTAAACTTAGGGGTAAATAAATTGGATAAAAACCCTATTGTGGGAAAAACACCATAAGCTAGGAGCTACCAACATCAAGGAAGCAAGTTCGTCATTTATGCATTTAAATTTTGATATTTCCCAAATGTAAACAATAAAATAAAGTTTTTATAATTTCATGCGGATGAAGCCGCTTAGGAACAGCTAGTAGAAAATATTCATACCTGATTTTACACAATCCATCTCTACTAAATTGTCAAACTAATCATCCTTATTTAGATTAGCTATAATCGTCTATTAGAAATGGATAAATCTATTAAAATGTGACTACAGCGAATGTCGTTAATAATGTGTTTTTGTCGGTCAGTATTTACAGGTTATTTGTTGCGTAATTTTTGTATTTAGCACAACTAATTTATCAACCTGACTTCGTCTGAATAAAACAAAGGATCGATTGTGTGCACCGAATTATCTATCCAACATCCGCAAAGGATATGTTCACACCAATCTAAACTTACAAATTGTTTTAATTAAAATTAAACTTATTATTTGTCGTTACTTTGTTTTTCATATAATTTCTTCCATAAACGTCAATCAGTCGCACTTAGTTGGCAAAATTGCCTCAAGACGTGCTACTTAGTTACTTAGTATTTAGTTTAGTTAGTACCTATTACTACAAAGGTTGCTGTTGTAGGGTAGGGTAGATATAAAATGCAATGATTGCCATCAAATCCATGAAAACTGAAAAAAAATAAAGAGTTTGGGTCCCAATTTTTTCGGACGCGAACAAAGAACCCACGAATAAGCTTTTATTAAATTTTACCAAGTCATGCTGATAATGCGATGTTATAAATATTTATTAATAAACCCGCTATCTACTAAAGTATAAATACACGTAGAAGGTAATGCAAAAATACATATATACAGATTCAGTGAACGACACAAGTTCGTAAGTTCGTAAATTGAAATTATTGTGATAAATTCAAAAATGTTTTATTTTTTAATATTGTGTGCAAGCGTAATTGCTTCTTTGTATTACTATTTTACTAGAACGTTTATTTACTGGAAGGAAAGAAATATTCCTGGACCTAAACCGCTACCGTTCTTCGGCAACATAAAAGATTCCGCTCTGAGAAGTAAGCATTTAACCTCAGTTCTTCAAGACATTTACAATGCTTATCCCAACGAGAAAGCGGTCGGTGTTTTCAGAATGACAACACCATGTCTTCTTCTGCGGGATTTGGATTTAATCAAGCAAATTATGATTAAAGACTTCGATCAATTCGTCGACAGAGGGCTCTCATTTACGGCCGGTCTCAATAACGCATCCTGGATCGGGAGATCGCTTCAATCGAGAAATAAAACGACCTGCTGGTTGATCACTAACCGGTGTCTCAATAACACCGGATAGCAAACATCAACCGATTTTCAAAATGGATCAGCGGGATCGATGTTCTTTGTGAAGTTCCCTCCTGGCGTTCCATTTCAAGCAGATGTCATTATGACTGTGTTGTAAACCTATTGATGAATTTAAGAAAATATGCACATTTTTGGGTTTTGACGTACTAACTAATTATTAATTTGTTGCGTATTTTACGAATAAAACGTGTTTCAACATGTTCCAAGCAAATTGTCATCAACGAATACTCCCTTTTCGGAGTTTTGGTAGCGGTACGAGATCGTAATCAGAGGAATACATTGTCTGTCAATGTCATTTGACATCAGTTGTCAATGTTATTTACATCAGCTATTAATTTGAAATTTATATAGCTTCTATTCGTGTTTTTTGATAAACAATTAAATATTTATCATCGAAAGTGTAAGTGCAATGGTATGTATACTTTTATTGTGTTTTTGACATGTTTTTACTTTCTACACTTTTCAATAAACTTCCCCCGTGAAGATGCTTCAATTCGCTCCTAATTTGTATAAACCCTCTACATAGTAATTTCTTATTATTTCCAGACCTCAAGCAAGCCTCTTACGAAGGAGGACACGAAAACACTGCTTTCGTTCATTGAAAGCAGTGAAATTAAATTGACTTGATGATTGACTAATGCTACCACGAATAAATTGAAAAATGAAGAATGGACACGGATAAGCGAAAAATTCAATGTTTGTTGTTGTTTGTTTACTTTATTGTACTACTATTTTTGTAATAATTAAAAACTTTATTTTTGTAACAAATATAAAAACTGTATTCTTGTAATAAATATAAAGGCTTGATTTTCGCAAAGTTTTTATTTGAAATACTACCATCGCCCTAAATGCATTTCTTCTTCGTCCCAGTCTGAAAGTTGCTCTAACACTTCCAAATCACTTTCACTATCAGCTATCACTATACAGCAACAAGCCAACCATTTTTTAATCTCATAATAAATTAGTAGAATCTTCCGATTTCCATAGATTGTAAAATAAAGATTGAGAGATATGTCAAAATTCCAAAAACATTTATTGAAACACTGCAACTGTCACTTTCAAACAGAGGGCGATCCGAAAAGTGTTAGAAATCAGATTTTTCCCTCCGATAGATTAGTCATGTTTTTAGATCGAATTTCTATCGTTCGGTCGTTTATTGAGACAGTATTTCAAAAGATTAGGATACGGATTGAGATTTTCGATTGAAAAAATTGCATATTGAGACCGGCCGTTAGTAAAGAAGGACTGGGATTTAACCTGTTCCATGCCGATACCGATACATGGAAAGTTCTGAGGAATCGTTTTACTCCACTTTTCACTTCTGGAAAACTTAAGAACATGTTTTATCTTATGACAGAACAAGGTGACACATTCCTTGATTACGTTGAAAATCTTTGTGCAAAACAATCGGCACAACCTATAAATATTCTCGTTCAGAAGTTTACGATGGCTACTATATCAGCATGTGCCTTTGGCTTGGACTTAGATGAAGACATGTACAAAACATTAAATAAAGTAGACAAAATGATTTTTACACCAAAGTACAGCATTGAGTTAGACATGATGTACCCTGGAATATTGGTGAAACTAAATAATTCAAATTTCCCAAAATTTTTAAAAGCATTTTTCAACAATCTTGTGAAAACTGTTGTTACCCAAAGAGGCGGAAAACCAACAAATAGAAAAGACTTTATGGATTTGCTTTTAGAACTAAGACAAAAGAAAACGATTGAAGCATCAAAAGGATCGGTTGATGAAAAAGTAAGGACACTTGAGTTGACCGATGATGTCCTCGCAGGTCAAGCGTTTGCATTCTACGCGGCCGGTTACGAGACTAGCGCCTCCACCATGACATACTTGTTCTATGAAGTTGCAAAGCATCCTGAGATACAAGATAAAGTCATTGCAGAAATTGACGAAGTTCTTAAAAAGTACGATGGGGAAATAACCTATGAATTTTTAAACGAACTGACGTATTTGAACCAGGTATTTGATGAAACTTTAAGAATGTATCCAGTTGTAGATCCTTTGCAACGCAATGCTGAAATGGACTACGTAATCCCAGGTACTAATACTAAAATCAGGAAAAGACAAACTGTGCTAGTAAGCGCTTTGGCCATCCACCGTGATCCTAAATATTATCCGAATCCGGGTAAATTTGATCCTGAACGTTTTACAACAGAGAATAAGAAAAACATACACTCAGGTGCTTATATGCCATTCGGAACAGGTCCAAGAAATTGCATAGGTATGTAATTGAAAACAGTATCTAGCGTAGTCGTAATTTACCAACTTGTTATGGTAAAAGTTATGTGACCCTCATTTATTTTTGAGCAAACACAGCCATCCTTGGTAATTCTCTACAATCAGGTACTCCAATGAGCGTAATATTTTATTTTTGAAAATCATTTACAGACTTTTTTAAGTTTTAAAGTAATGAGAATTCATTTTATAGTTATTAAAAGTTATGTTGTTGTTTAATTGACTGTTTTCCGACATTATTAGTAGTTGCAATCTTGTGATTTACCAAGAAAATGGTGGTAAACGGTCAAAATAAAGAAGATAATCAAGTTTTTCGAATTTAAACCACGACTTGGTAAATCTTAAAATTGAGTTAAAGATGACAATTACATTTGTAATTGTCATGCCAATTTTGGCATGTCACGCTTATACGGCTTTTTAAAACCCATACTAAGTTTAAAATTTTACGCTCACACAAAACGAGTCGTAAGCAAGGAAAGTTTAGAATTTATGACTTGTTTTTATTTTAGTTTTGTGTTTTGTATGTTTCAGGAATGCGGTTTGCTAAGGTGCAGTCCCTAGTGTGCATCGTCAAATTCTTCACCAAATTCCGCGTGGAACCTACCAAGAATACACCAGCTGAAGTGGAATTAGATCCTATGCGTCTAGTTCTGTTTCCCCGCGGAGGAATCGAACTAAATGTTATACGTAGATAGATGTTGAGATTAACTTTATTGATGGTACAATATTTGATTTTATCTCTTATGGGAATTTGGACGATAGTCGTTGCGAACTGGGAAGAGGTTTTTGATTGTTTGATTGACTGTACATATTTCTTTTTATTATTGTAAAATGTTATTGTGTTAGTATTAAAATGTATTGAAAAATATTACGTTGTTTTAATTTTTGATTCATGAAGCAAGAGCCAATGTGATGTGGGCTGTACTTTACATTTATCACCATCAACTTCCCTTGTCCCTAAGGAGGGTTGGCTCAGTTTGTGCTGTTCTTCTCTTCCATACATTTCTATCATTCCCTTCCTAAGCATATCCTCTTTCACATAATCCATCCATACTTTCTTCCGTCTTCTTCTACCTTTGTAGCCATCCACATTTAATCTTACTACTTTCTGGTTTATGTCTATAGAGACATGTCTATGGTGACGCGAGGATGTCCTCTCGTCACATAACATGTCCATACCACGCTAACCTTGTGCACCTCATTTTTTCGGCTACTTTCATACTTTCTCTAATATACACATTCTTAACTTTATCCCTCTGTATTTTATAGTTTTAATCATACTTAACTATTAACTACATCATTTAATTTTAATATCTGAGTAAAAAGTTTTTTTAATACCGTTTATAATTATTTCAAATTAAATGTTTTTGTGTAAGAATAATGTTTAAGCAAATATACCTTTGCTCGAGTAAGAGCGAATTAAATCGGACTTACACCGCACTCGAAAAATACAATAGTTTTTTTTCAGTGAATAACCACCGCTTGACCACATTCCTACCTGATGGTAAGTGTGGCCTAAAGATTATCGGGATAAATTAGTAAATGCATATTTGTCCTACTGCTTACCATGTCATATTAGAACGGAAAAATTGATGCTAGCAACTTGTTACATTCCTTTGCAGTACGCAAAAGAAACGATGTTTCACTCTCTTCCTTCAAATGCAAAATACAATAAATAAAGAAAGGACGGATTTCCATCGTATGTTTAGACATACATATAGATATTTAGATATCCGACAATAGAATAGAATGACAATGAGTACTTAATGAGTAAAAGAATGTTTTTTTTTGTATCAGTGCTGCAACCTCGCTGAGTAGTTGATGATGAAGCAACAGTTGTCGATGGAAAATACAGGACAATTTCAAGATGGAGTCTACTATGGCCAACGGTACGCTCGCGTACGGATCGCTCTTAGGATCTCGGATTACCCTGGAGTATGAAGTCACTGCTATTAAGTTCCTCCACTATAAGTCGAGAACTCAGTTGGGGTTCACTTGAAACACTAGAAAAAGGGCTGTGAAGACTAGTATTTCATATAATGAAGATTATAACAAGGTTTCCTTGGTTTTGTGTATAAGATGTAAGTAGCGACATCTCACAAAGACAAACCGTACCATTTGGTTATCATTGTCTAGTAACGCATCATTAAAATTAAAAACTTTATAAACAACTGAAATAGATGGCGTGATGGGATACAAATTGTGTATTACACGTTGTTTTAACATATACTTAATTCGTCGTATAGCAATATTGTAATATATAAAATGATAGGATTATACGTTATATTGGAGGCGCAGGTCATGAATTCGTCTCCGTTTCCCCTACCTTATGTTACTCCTGTAGGTTTGGCGCACCGGGTTTTCGTCCTCCAAATAACTCTATCATCCATCATCTCAGTTATCACTCCCTTATGATCATGTCACCTTTCATGCAATCCATATTTTTCGGGTTTACCTCTACCGATGCACCTCCACGCTTATAACTAAAGTCCTACTTTTTACAATTGTTCAGGCCATCAATTGGATTAATAGTTATTATACTGTATAGACCTACGAGGATTATTTTGGCAGTTGATATATTTGGAAACTATTAATGTAATTCAAGCCTCATTTTGTTTAAAGAGGGAGCGGCTCCTGCGCGAGTGAATGTCGCCATGTTCATAATTTTGAAATATCAGAAAAAATACCACGTGCTGGTGTAACTTGGAGTTTTATTCGTTGATATTGGGACCATGGGGAAGATGATGCTAATATGCTAATACTCGACATTGTTAATTCTGAACAAAAACTATAAAGTTTACAGTTTAGGCGTATCAAATTAAATTTTTTGCCCTTACTCAGTGTACTCAACTCAATTCAACGCAGCTCAAATCTTGTACATAATTTGTCTATTTTTTCAACATTGGAGAATTAAGAGGGAAGTTGGGAACTTTTTGCATACATAAGTCGTAAAAACTAGCAGGCGCCCCTCTGTAAGTGTCAAAAATATGTCATAAGATCCTTGTAGATCTGTAGCCTATATTGTGCCAAAAATAATGAAAGGACTCCATGAAGGGCTGTTAATATAAGACTCATGGCAGTGGAATTTTACCGTTATGTACAAAAATGATAAACATATTATACTTATCGTATTAAGTACATCAATTATTTCTCTTATCATACATTTTTATGATAAAAATGTTGACGCAACAGACATTGTCTTGTCTTTGTTAAGAACACAAGCTATCGCCCGCGATTCCGTCCGCGTGGAATTGAGATTCGTTCAGACGTCTAGGCTACAAAACCCAACAAATATCCATCCATCCATTCATCTAAACTTTCGCATATATTTAGTACAAGCTGTTCCTGTGCGGCTTCATCCGCATGAAATTATGTAAATTTTACTTTATTTTTTATATTTGTCAAATTATCAATAGCAAATGTCAAAATGACATGACATGGCAATCTTGCGTTCTTGATGTTGGCAGCAACTTATTCCCACATTAGGGTTTTTATCCAAAATATTTACCCCCTAAGTTCAATGGCGTGAAAATATATAGCCTAAGGCGTGACGTACGTAGAGGGCTTTTTATTAAGAATATAATTATTCAAAAATATGCTGTGATTGCTAATAACTTAAGCAACAAAGAAGTGTGTTTAAGCTTTATTATAATAAGAGATTAGCAAGATTGAATTCAAAAGTTTCGCTTGACTTCATTATTTTTACTTTCATGAAAACTTGTAAGTTTTCATGAAAGTAAAGCTAATTTTACATTGTGAGGTGTACCTCACAATGTAAATTTGACACGGAGATGATGATTATTATCCTCCACTTATTTTTGTTCCAAGACCCCCGTCCAGGTTTGAGATAACCTTTTGTTGGTTTTATTTCCTTTTTAACCTATCATACTAATATTATAAATGCGAAAGTTTAGATGTATGGATGGATGTTTGTTAGAGTTTGTAGCCTAAACAGCTGAATGGATTTTGATGTAATTTGGCATAGATGTAGCAGATAGTCTGGAAGAACACATAATTTGCTCACATTTGTTTTTTTTTAATTCCACGCGGACGGAGTCGCGGGCGCAAGCTAGTTAAGTACCAAAATCTTATTCGCTATTAAATTATTTTACAGGTATATAGCTATGTGACGTAGTGGTCTTTGGCATTTGAGTTTCTACTGTTAGTCCATAAACATCAAAAACCGAATTCTAGCAGATTTCTCTTCTATCTATTTTTTTACATTGCAAGGTGACATATGAGCAACCAGCTATCGGAATCTGGCGAAATAGTAAACCGACCGGCCGTCTCCAGGTACAGATGCTTTACCTGCCTTTATTCGATGAAGTAGGGGACGCAGTAACAGTAACATTTCCACTTCCTATGCGTCCCCTTCATAAAAGGGTCTAATACGTCACCTAAGAAAAGGGCGGGAAGGGAAAGAGGACTAAAATCGAGGCTTCGGCCCTTGCACACTTGGCTTCTGTTTTAGCGGTCTCTAGCACTGTTATTGTATGCATAGTTGTTGTTAACCTATGACCTTGTTCCGATGACTTTGTTTACGAGTCTGCCGCTCTCCTTTTAGGGGACTAACTATTTTCTACCAATTTATTTTATGAGCAACTGACAGTCTTATTGAGTCATCTTTAGGCATCAAGGGCATATTTATTTTACAAATATCGGCTCTCCAGGGTGGTAGGGGGAGGGGGTTACCTCCTCAGACTTCATTTGATTGTATGGGCGAGTAAGTTAGAGTGAAATTACATGAAAATGATGATTCATTTTAATTGGAATATACCACATTGGTCACCGATAACAAAGTGATAGCATAAAATTGCAAGTCGTCGTAAAGCACGTGGTGGTCGTTACGTAATTAAAATATTGACACTTTGTGTAATAATACACAGAACTTAACTGCGCAAAAGACAAATTTTGATAACATTACTTGTAGCTATGCAAGAAACCTAAACCCTTCTTAGATATGTTCGGTAAAACTAAAGTTGTAGTTTAAATTTTTACGGCAGTGGTAGAGCCTACAGTAACATCATTTGCACAAATAGTACGACTCACAAGTAGTAATACTACGATCACACAGAAGACAATCTAGAAGAGAAGTATTACTGTGTTTCATCTCATGAGTGTGCGTGCTGAAGATCTCCCATTAGTTCCTCTTCCCCTTTATACCATTTTCTTATAAAGAAAGTATGTAAAGAGAGCGTCAGTGACTCAGAGGTTTGAGCACTTGACTTGTAATCTACAGGTCCTGGGTTCGAATCTCTCTCGAATGTACCAATGTGATTTTCGATTTTCGAATTTCATATGTAACTACATAATTTACCCGACGTTCTTAGGGTGAAGAAATAATCGTGATGAAACCTGCACATATCGGTGAAGAAATTCAAAGATATGTGTGAAGTCAATCAATCCGCGCTTATCCAGCGTGGTTGACCATGGCCTAGTCACTCTTTATTAAGGATAGGTTCGGAGCCGCTCAGTGGGGACATATAGTGAGCTGATGATGATGATGTGAAGAGAAAGTGGCCACTCGCTCGTTTGCCATCTTATCATGTAAAAAAACAACAGCCTGACTCGATTAAACTATCGGCCGATATAACTTCTCTGCAGGGGCTCTTTATATATTGTCGCGACGTCATCTATTGATGAGTAGCGAAAATTCATCTCTGAAGAACAATCGAGCTGTTTCCAGAATGTTCGTTCGCCGCGAGTAGCGAAAATATTAGTAACGGCATCGAGAATGTTCCATTATGAATTTTATGTACTTCGGACTATCGAGAAATTCTGGAATAAAATGACAAATGAATAACGAAAAGAAGATCAAATTCGGGGTATATAAGGGGAGTCAGACGTGACTCAGGGAGTGATACAGTGGAAAGTAAACTGTGAAGAAGAAGTACTAAGCAAATTACGAAGAAGATTAAGCGAAAGTGGTGTTCTGTAAAGTGCTTAGTGTTAGTGATCCTGTATTTTGTGTGTCGTGAAATTTTAAGAAACAACTGTGTGAGGGTTGTGTATCGCTGTCTCTGTGAGTCGTGAATAAGTTTATGAAGAAATTATCAAGCGGTTTAACTCTACCTCCCACACTCGTAACAATATGTTAGAAGTTGTCATAAAGCGTACTCGTACATTTGAAGTTATTGCAGGATCAATTAGTTTGTTTTATCGATCTGTGTTTTACTGAATTTTATGACACTCTTTAGTTTGTCCCTCGCAGATAAAAAAATCAGTGGTAAAGGTCGGTCCGACCAAAATTGATAACCTACTTTGCATTGGCCTAATAAAGAAATCTAATTTATTCTATTTCTCTTAATAGATTGCGTGGTGCAATTAAAATGAAAATTTACTGAGGCTTACCTTAGTTTACCTTAGAGTCAATCTACCAACATTTCTTCCTTCATTTGGTCCGCGACAACAACATTTTTGGCACAAATGGGCCCGTTCAGTCTATTAAATAGGCGTGAGTTCGGTGTCCTAGTTTCTGCAATACCATCCTCTTATATTGCGATATTTCTATGCCGCCATACTTATTTTTACCCTTACTCATTTGTCACTTTATAGTTACTAAAATCAATGTGTTTAAGGTGTCCTGGGGAACCTCAGAAATTCTAAACGGACCGATTTTACTTAAAAGATAAGAAAGGATATTACTAAGATTATTGACGACAATTCACTAGAGCGATATACTTTTTATATTTATCACTTATAGTAGTTGTAGTTGGAAACACAACCAACAATATTTAATGTAAATAGAACGAGCATATAATCATCATCAGCATTTTTATAAGTTCTCTCAGTTTTGCTTTGTAATCCACGATGACAACGTAATTTGTCCATATAAAGTCCTATCAACACGTTCCATTTGTTTCATTCGGTAATTGTGTACAGTACCGCAATGTTATACCTTTTAGTGACTTTGACAAGTGTAGTTTCACTTTTATACTTTTATTTTACAAGGACTTTCAATTATTGGAAGGATAGAAATGTACCTGGACCTAAACCTTTACCATTCTTCGGCAACCTTAAGGAAACCACTCTGAGACGTAAGCATGCCGCAGTAGTTTTTAAAAGTATTTACGATGCATATCCCAATGAGAAAGTGGTCGGAGTCTACAGAATGACCACACCTTGTCTACTGCTCCGCGACTTGGACGTTATTAAGCACGTCATGATTAAAGACTTTGATATGTTCGTCGACAGAGGAGTCGAATTCAGTAAAGAAGGACTAGGAGTTAATCTATTCCATGCTGATGGAGACACATGGAAAGTCCTGAGGAACAGATTCACACCAGTTTTTACTTCTGGTAAACTGAGAAATATGTTGTATCTTATGATTGAACGGGGTGATCACTTTGTTGACTATGTTGAGAACCTCCGTGCAAAGAAATCGGAACAACCTATACATGTCCTCGTTCAGAAGTTTACAATGGCTACTATCTCCGCTTGCGCCTTTGGCTTGGACTTGGATGAAGATATGTATCAAGTATTGAATAAAATAGACAAAATGATTTTTACTGCAAACTACAGCAACGAGTTAGATATGATGTATCCTGGTATACTGAAAAAGTTTAATGGTTCAATATTTCCTAAATACGTAAACACTTTCTTCGATAACCTCGCACAGACTGTCGTTAAACAAAGAGGTGGAATGCCAACAAATAGAAAGGACTTTATGGATTTGATTTTGGCGTTAAGACAACAGAAAACAATTGAAGGGACGAAAAAAATGGACAATGACAAACTGAGGATAGTTGAATTGACGGATACCGTCATTGCTGCCCAGGCTTTTGTGTTCTACGCGGCTGGCTATGAGACCAGCGCTTCCACCATGACATATTTGTTCTACGAACTGGCGAAACATCCTGAGATACAAGATAAAGTCATTGCAGAAATTGACGAAGTTGTTAAAAGACACAACGGTGAAATAAGCTATGACTGTTTAAATGAAATGACTTATTTGCAGCAAGTGTTTGATGAAACATTACGGAAATATCCAATTATAGATCCTTTGCAACGCAACGCTCAAATGGACTACACAATCCCAGGCACTAATGTTACTGTCAAAAAAGGACAAACTGTACTTGTGAATCCTATGGGTATCCATTACGATCCTAAGCACTACCCCAACCCTGAGAAGTTTGATCCTGAACGGTTTAGTCCTGAAAATGAGAAAGACAGACATTCGTGTGCTTATATGCCATTTGGAACTGGACCCAGGAATTGTATTGGTATGTAAAAATTAATATTAACCATTGTTTATCAATTCTTATAACAGTCATCATCATTATCAACTTGCCCTTTACCTACGGAGGGTCGGCACAGTATGTGCTGCTCCATAATCCCATAAGTATCTATCAACCGTCATATCTAAATCTACTTGCTTCTTAGGCATGTCCTCTTTCACACAATCTATCCATACTTTCTTCGGTCTTCCTCTGCCTTTGTAGCAATCCACATTCAATCTTAACACTTAAAATTGTATTCCACGCTACGCTATTCATCGTTGGTGTCGTTTTTTTTAAAGCGCTTATTGGAAAGCGTGGATGGATAGGATGTGAGCATCTCCATAATATTTTCAATTTACTAAAGTCTAAATTCATTTTGATTATACTCGTACTCAATATATTTTGTTCAATCCAGGTATGCGGTTTGCGAAGGTTCAATCCCGAGTGTGTGTAGTCAAGTTTTTGTCGAAGTTCCGAGTGGAACCTTCGAGAAACACACCGAACGTGTTGGACTATGACCCCATGCGGCTTGTTCTCTTTCCCAAGGGAGGAATCCATTTGAATGTTATATGTAGATAGATGAAATCTCTGCTTCGACGGTCATGACAACTAAAGTATGAAATTAATAAATGGTTTATAAATCTACTTCTTTTATTTGTAATTATGGCTAAAGCCTGTTCTAACGTGACGGTAATCTATACTAATTTTATAGAGAGGAAAGATTTGTATTTTGCATGTACTGAATATCAGCGCATCTGCAGTACCCTTGGCATTGCAAATGTCCATAGGCGTCTGATAAATTAAATTCAAGCGATCCGTTGCTCGTTTGTCCGCTTTTTCTTTATAAAAAAAAACTACTAGGCTGATTCCAAATTTTTTTTTCATTAAAAAGCCACAGTACTACTACAGCTTTCAATGAGTTACAGGCGAGTTTTTTATTACTTTTTAATTTCATGCGGACGAAGTCGAAGCGATATCTAATATTTTAGAACAACATTCTTTTTAATGTCCTCTTTATAAATAGCGTTGTAAAATGTCCTACTAGATGAAAATAAACCCTAAATCTAAAGCTAACCTAAAGATAAAATGAAGTCATAATATTTAAAATAATCTATACTTATCTAAGGTAATAAAAAAGAGTAAAAAATCATACACTTCTTTGTTACGTAGGAGGATGTCTGCAATCACAAATTAATTTGAAATCACTTTTTTAAAGCCTTCAAAGTAGTTTTATTAAAATTTAAATTGTATTGAAGACAGACATACAAACTTTGACAATTATTATACGAGTACTAATATTATAAATGCGAAAGTTTGGATGGATGGATGTTTGTTAGAGTTTGTACCCAAAACGGCTGATCGGATTTCGATGAAATTTGGTACAGATGTAAGGGATAGTCTGGAAGAACACTTAGGCTACTTGGTTTTGAATTAAAAAAAATAATACCAAGCCGACGGAATCGCGGGCGAAAGCTAGTTTATAATGAACAAGGTAAGAATTCTGCAAACTTGAATTCTCTGAAAATCTATTTTTTGGCATAATCGCAAATCTAAAAAATCCGCAGCAAAATAGCCAAAAAAAAAAATGTTTTAGCATTGACATACGTGGTGCACCGTCATCTATAGTGTGTCTAAATAATTTAGATTAGTTTGACAAATCACTTCAAATTTAATAGGGATGGGTTGTGAAAATCAGTCATGAATCTTATCGATTTTCGATTTTTATTCTTATAGAAGTTGGAATCGATAGATTTATAGTTATAACTTATGAAAAAAAACACTGTTTTCTCAAATTAATAATGACCATAACAAATAATGAGAGTAAATAAATGTTTATTTCTACTACAGCCGTACGTAATCGAATTGGATTTCGCTATTATTTCTGTCATCGCTAAATTCTCTACACTAAAATCAATAATAGAATTATACTCTAACTTAGTTAATAAGAAAATAATAATTTTAGTTGAGTTCGATAATTATTTAAACCGAATATCGATAGTACATAATTGTTCTCTATGCGTGTTTGTTCGTCACTACGATACCTGTCTATTAAGTACAGCATTTGCCTTTATACAAATTGAATTCGATACTTCATATGCGTCATTTATCAAACTAATCTAATTTATTTAGACAAACTTTAGTAACTTTAGATTACTTCAAGCAACAAGCGTAATACGAGGAAAAAATAATAACGGCAAAAACAAATTAGGAGGTCTTCAGTCTTTTTTAGTACCGGTTCTCTTTTGTGCATTATAAGTGTTAGACAAAAAGTTGTTTTGTTCGTTACATAATTTTATTTTATTGATATAAAAACGATAGATAACTACATAAAAGCTTATTAAAAAACGTCTTGTGAACATACAGAGACGCAAGTCTGTAGTTCTATTCAATTATAAGTCACATTTAGGTTCATATTGAACTGACCGTATTTCATACTTTTACTATAACTGTAAACTCAAATTCAGAAGTGAACCATCAACTTGCCCTTATTCCTTATGGAGGGTCGGCAGATTATGTGCTGCTCTTCCATAAATTTAATTCAGAAGTGAACAACTACTAGTAATGTTTTAGAATGTATACCTAAATGTATAGTTCTCGTAGATTTTGCCTCTTGTCGTTTATCTGTAGACACTTGACATAGTAATAGAATCAACCGTTAATTGGCACGTTGACTTTTTACCTCGTCACATAAGAGATGACCGATAGTGGGATTTCCAATCGCCGAAATCAACGATATTTGACAACTTTGAGTAATTTATTCAATTACCGTACACTGATAAGGTATTTTGCGATACGTAAAATTTTTGTTTAAAAAAATATTTACTTAAATCATTACAGTTATTTGGCGTCTGTCAATTTTTTTAAACTGTTTGTCCGTTTTCAAGGTGAGTATCAAACGTACGACAGTCGGTATCTGCTGTTTTGGTATCGTTACATATTATTTAAATCTTTTTGCGATAACTACTTAAATCTGCTAAGAATAATAATTATCTTGACAATACAACCTAACATAAATGCGATATTCGATTTACAATATGAGTAAGTTTATAGTCTTAAATATTAGTTTATTGTCCAAGTATATTCTCATAACTTATGCCTCTTGCCCCGAAGAAAGGCCTAACATAAATACTATCTGCTCTTTTTGGTTTAGATATTTATCTTGATGATCCTTAAGGGACGGTTAACAAACTTTGTTCGGATAGAGGAATAGACTAGCTATCGTTAAAGCGACATTTATGTTGCCCGATTATCCCAAGTTATTTAATTTTTTGTAAAAACATCGTAAAAATCAGTTTTTCGATCTTAATTTTTCAGTGTTAATATTTTTTCTTAACATGCCTAATAATTGGGATTTTGCATGGTCATCCTGTTTTTGCAATGACTCACGTGAGACAAAGTAAAATAAAATTTTGAAATTTTTCTTAAAATAAAATTTCTTACTCCACCTTTGAAAAGCTGTAATACTTTTTTTGTATTAATTTTTTTCAAAAACTTTAGACCCAAATGCAAAAAAAAACCTATTTACCTTTCTTTTGTTTTTCGCAAAAAGAATGATTTGAAATAGTCTACGGCAACAATCACTTATAATTTTCATATTGTAATAATATCTAATTTTCATGTATTTTATATGAAAATTAAACTATTTCATATAAATGAATATAAAATGAATCAAAAATGATACATAATAAAAAATTAAACAAATTTTAATTTAAGATGATTTCCAACATTTTTTATTTCGTTCTCACATCAGTTATTGCTAAAAAAGAAACGAAATCATTAGGCTTAATAGGCTTGTTTAAACAAACACAACATTTTTATCTATTGAAATTTAGGTATAGTAAAATGGCGGAACCATTTATGTGTACACATATTGAAGTTTACAAACTCTTAAACACTTTTGATTCGTCCATTAAGAATCATGCTGTATAAACATTTTTTCCCAATCATGACTTGTCGTTATCTTAATAAACATAAATACACAGCGTCTTTCGATTTGATGTCATTCAGTAACTGCGCGCATTCCAATGTTGTATCTTTTAGTGATCTTAGCAAGTGTATTTACACTTGTATATTTTTATTTTACAAGGACTTTCGACTATTGGAAAAACAAAAATGTACCTGGACCGAAACCTCTACCATTGTTCGGCAATATTAAAGACAGTGTACTCAGACGTAGGCATGCTGCCTTAGTTTTTAAAAGTATTTACGATGAATATACTAACGAGAAAGTGGTCGGAGTTTATAGAATGACCTCACCGTGTCTACTCCTCCGCGACTTGGACGTTATTAAGAACGTCATGATTAAAGACTTCGATCAGTTCGTCGACAGAGGAGTTTCATTTAGTAAAGATGGATTAGGACTTAATCTGTTTCATGCTGACGGCGACACATGGAGAGTTTTGAGGAACAGGTTTACACCAGTATTTACTTCTGGTAAGCTGAAGAACATGTTGTATCTTATGACAGAACGAGGTGAACAGTTTGTTGATTATGTCGAGAACCTTCGTGCAAAACAATCAGAACAGCCTATACATGTCCTTGTTCAAAAGTTTACGATGGCTACTATCTCCGCTTGCGCCTTTGGCTTGGACTTAGATGAAGATATGTACAAAACTTTAAACAGAATAGACAAAATGATTTTTACCCCAAGTTATGCCAGAGAATTGGATATGATGTACCCTGGAATACTTGAAAAACTTAATAGCTCAATCTTTCCTAATTTTGTGAATGACTTCTTTAGTAATCTCTCGCAAACAGTAATTAAACAGAGAGGTGGCATTCCAACAAACAGAAAAGACTTTATGGATTTAATTTTGGAGTTGAGACAACAGAAAACAATTGAAGGGACAAAGAAATTGGACAATGAAAAGCTGAGAATAGTTGAACTGACTGATAGCGTCATAGCGGCTCAGGCGTTCGTATTCTACGCGGCTGGCTATGAGACCAGCGCCTCCACCATGACATACTTATTCTACGAATTGGCGAAACATCCCGAGATACAAGATAAAGTCATTGCAGAGATTGACGAAGTTGTTAATCGATACGATGGCGAAATAAGCTATGACTGCTTAAATGAAATGACTTATTTGCAACAAGTATTTGATGAAACATTACGAAAATATCCAATTGTAGATCCTTTACAACGCAATGCTCAAGCGGACTACACAATCCCAGGCACTAATGTTACTATCAAGAAAGGACAAACTGTACTCATCAATTCTATGGGTATTCATTACGATCCAAAACACTACCCCAACCCAGAGAAATTTGATCCTGACCGATTTAGTACTGAAAATGAAAAAAATAGACATTCTTGTGCTTATTTACCATTTGGAACTGGACCTAGAAATTGTATAGGTTAGTAAAATATGAATTAACTTATTAAATGCGATAGCCTATTTATTACCATTTTCTGAATTTAAACTAACTACAATACTGTGATGATATCATTGTTATATTTTACAATTAATGTTTTATATATTATTATCTCATCTATAGCTATATCTATACGAATATTATAAAGAGGAAAGATTTGTATTTTTGTATGTATTGAAATAACTCGAAAACTACTGGGCGGTTTTTAAAAATTCTTTTAACGTTAGAAGCGAGTAACAGTTAGTCATTAATATAGTTTCACTTGTTTCAAATAACAAAATAATAACTTTGGTAACCACAACATTGAGATTTCGTTAAAAATTAAAGTATTTTGTTAATTATCACCAATGTATTTATGGTTATCGTTTTACGTCATTGACCTGATATCATGTCACATGTGCTCCTTAAAGTAGTCAAAGATACTGAAGTATTAGGTACTAGTAGTGTAATTCCAGTAAACAATAATAAAATTATATACTTTTCAGGAATGCGGTTCGCCAAGGTGCAGTCCCGAGTATGCGTTGCTAAGTTCCTGTCCAAGTTCCGAGTGGAACCTTCGAAAAACACCCCAACTGTGTTGGAGTACGATCCCATGCGTTCGGTGCTGTTTCCCAAGGGAGGAATTCACCTAAATATTTTATGTCGATAAATATGTTATTCTGTGACCTCTAATTTATATTAATACTAGTTGTTCCCATGCGGCTTCGTCCGCATGCAACTGTAAAAACTTTATTTTATTGTTTACATTTATCAAATTCTCGATTGCAAATGTCAAAATACCAATTACCTAACCAATCTAGCTTCCTTGATGTTGGCAATAACTTATCTCTATCCCACATTAGGGTTTATATCCAAAATATTTACCCCCTAAGTTTATTGGTGTGAAACTATCTAGCCTAAAGCGTGACGTAAGTGTAGGGCTTTTTATTAAAAAAATAATTATTCAAAAATATCCTGTAATTGCCGACATGTTAGGCAACAAAGAATTGTGTATATAAATTATAACACGGCTAAACTCACGTGATAACATTCGGTGTAGGCACCGACAGTTTCGAACCCGTTGGGGGTCCTTCTTCAGGGTGAGTGATTAATCGGGTATACTCGCTAGCGCGTCGCGACGGTCACTGCGTGCCCTCGCCCGCATCGCGCGTTTCGACAGGGCGGGGGGCGCGGGGGGTGCGGGGGGTACACTATTCACTATGTGCGTCGGCGCAGACGAGCTCGAAACTGACGTGGTGGTGTTATTATTATTAACGGGGGCACAAAATACACTTACAATGTCCACTAAGTTGTCTTCGACATTGTCGATCTTATTCCGCTTCGCATTCAGCAGCACGGGTTCCCACGCGGGTGGCAGAGCCCAACCCTTGTCTCTATTATAATTAGGCCGACGGCTGATTTCTATTGCCTCACGAAGCTTGCGGGATACAAAATGCTTCTCGCGGGCTAGCACTTTCACTTTGTCGAACCTAATATAATGTGACATATCGGAGGCAAGGGCATGTTCCGCCACCGCCGAGGCGTTGCTGTCGAGCTTGCGAATGCTCCGGATGTGTTCCGTGAGTCTAGTTTTTATGTTGCGCCCCGTTTCTCCGATGTAGTTCCTACCGCAATCGCATGGAATTTCGTAGACCCCAGGGCTGTCCAGAGGGTCCCGGTCTTTAGGGGACCGCAGTATTTTCTGTATTTGTGTCAGGGGTCGGAAAATGGTCCTGATGCTATATCTCCGGCGTAACAAGTGACCAATTCGGTCCGTTATCCCCCGCACGTACGGCAAGTATGCCGGGACACGCTCAACATCCTGTGGCCGTCCTTTGCTTGATGTGTTTGCAAGGCGGTAACTCTGCCGCCAATTATAGCCGTTGCTCTCTAACACCTGTCGTACGTGTGACAATTCCGACTCAATAAACTGTGGATCACACAACCGAAGCGCACGGTTGATCAAAGTGCGTGGTACTGACGACAGATGTGAGGGGTGATGGTGTGAGTCGGCTCTTAAGTAACGATCTGTGTTGGTCGGCTTTCTGTATACCGTATGTACAAGATTTCCAGTGGGTTCCCGCTTTACTAGAACATCCAAAAACGGGAGAGTTCCGTCCGTTTCCTCCTCCTTTGTAAATACAATCTTTGGATGTATACTGTTCAAATGGTCCAACAACAAGCTTAAGCCTTGTCTTGTAACAATGGCAAACACATCATCGACATATCTCCACCAGTATCTGGGTTTGATTGGAGCCGTTCGTAAAGCGTTATCCTCAAAATGTTCCATAAATATATTGGCAACAACCGGTGCTATTGGAGTTTGTTGAGTTTAGCCGTGTTATAATTTATATAGTATAATGTCTCACGAAAGTTTTAATAAGTTAAAGAATTGTGTGTTTACGCTTTATTATAATAGTATAGATATAGAGTAGCTGTTGCCCGCGATTTCGACCGCGCAGTATTCAAATAAATATACGTACTAAAAAAACATACAGACGAATTGAGCACCTCCTTCTTTTAAGAAGTCGGCCAATAAAAGAATAATCACATATGCCTCGGGAATCAAATTTATATGAAATGATCAGTATCCCATATGTTAATCCAGTCTTTAGCTGTGCCAAATTTCAATAAGATATGCGAGACGCATTATATGTATATTTTCTGTACAAAATACGATCTGGCAAAAATCTGAAGAGAATCTGGCAAGCTCTGAAAAAAAAACTAGGCAATGAAAAGCAATAAATGGTGATCTGTTTAAATTGTTGTTAAATCTGCTTAAATTGTTTTTATTAACGTTATTTTCCCTGGTGCCTGTTTATCTAAAACCGGTATTATAAAAGTATACCATCTTCAACTTGCCCTACCTACGGAGGTTCGGCACCATACATGTCTATCAGCCGTCATATCTAAATTCATTCCTTTCTTAAGCATGTCCTTTTTCATACAATCTACCCATCTCTCTCTCTCTCTTCTCTTTTTATTTTATATTTTATTTTTTATTCTGTAAGTTTATTCTGTAAGTATGTCAGTTATAATATTTTTAGGTACCATAAAGTTACTCCTTCCATAAAATTAATAGCAAATTTGCATATTCGCCAACAGTAACTATGTAAAACGTTTTATTTTTGTTTTCTAGTAACTAAGATAATAAGCCACATTTGACATCTATTTTAGTTTGGTAGTGACGTAACCTGCTTAAAAACATCGGTTAAGGTGAATGAAGCTAATTCACCTTAACTACACGACTTGACTATAAATATTTGAGAAATGAATTCAGTGTCTCCTTCTTATGCGTCTCCTCCACCATTAAATCCACTTTCTCTTCCCATCCATTCCTTATAAGAAAATGATAGGAATATGTAAGATTTGACGCACTAAAACCCCTTCGGTGGCCGTCCTCAAGTGACAATCGAAGGTTCCGATATCTCCAAGGAACACACCGAAACCTTCGGAACTCGAACTCTCCCTGTTGCTCCACAGTGTTACGACAACAAATAACCAATCTATGTCACCGTCGCATAGACGACGCCAATGCTACTTATCGAGGAATGAGGCATAAATTAAACTTTTCTAAAAGCGAAAGGCCAAAAGCCCATTACAACGTAAAAATTTAATAAAAAACGCGTCTTAGTCATAGCAATGAACATGTTCGATTAATTTGCCGTTAACTAAAACCTACATATTTGATGCGATATGTTGAAATTTGTTACTATATTGCATCAGTTTTGATTTCGATGATCATGACACGTTATTATCTGTCTATCTAATTATATCTATCTATGTATCATATATGATATATGCTTTTTTATTTTTTAAAGTGATTAAATGTTTATTAATTAGTGGGAATTTTCGAAATACAATTATATTCCTATGCCTAATAGTGGGCAGGTAAAGATGATGATGAATTAAATTAAAAATGGCTGAATATAAACTTTGTAGTTAAGGAACAATATACAAAAAGTAAAAAGGTTCTGTTATTTTAAGTACAGTTTTTTTAAACTCCTTTGGTTTTAATAATTACTTCCAAATCAATATGGTTGTTTTTTTCTAACGGTAAACAGAAGTGTCCTTAAATGATTCTAGTATTTCTTTCTAAAACTATAATAATACAAACATAAGTAAAGTGCTAATAAGAAATGGTCAATTAACATTATGTGTATAATAACCGAAAAATCAGCTTACAAGCTACGGGCTTCGAAATATGGAACTTGTATCGGTAGATTTCTGTTATTACGTAGATTACTACTAAGTCAATACTCTTGGTAATAGGTTGAAAAAAAGGGCGAACGTAATAGGTAGGTTACATTTTTTAATTTCACGCGGGCGAAGTCGCGAGCAACAGCTAGTTATTAATATTTTTGTTGTAATTAATCAAACATTAATATATATTAAACTCCTATTGGTAAATTAGTAATTAAAATTAAAAATAGGAGCATTGTACTTTATGAACAGGAGTATTGCCGCCTTTTCTGGTTCAGGGCGATTACGCAGAGGTTCATAAATTAAACCCGGGCTACTAAATAATTGTTCGCTAGGAACACTGCCCGGCTACTTGCATGATATTCGCATCCGCATGAACATCCGCACTGATTAATGCGGATGCAGATGTCCAAATCTATGCAGAAGCTCCGCATTTGCGGATGCGGATGCGAATATTCGCAACATCCCTGTTATGAACTATCGATATTCGGTTTAAATAAAATTTATCGAACTTAACTAAAATTATTAT